CATTTACCCAACAAACAATAGGCCGTTCAGAAAGTTTCGAAATTCCAAAGTTCGGAGATAACCGAAAAAAAAACGAAATTTTAGAAAACCGATTTTATTTTATTCTGGCTATATTTATTGTAGCATTGCAAAATGAATCGCATTTTCGTTTTTTCTCTACTACATGATGGTGCTTTCAGATTTGCTAACCGACTTTTCATCTTCCAGCCACCATCATCACCATATTGGATTTATTCCGAAAGCACCATCATGTAGTAGCGAAAAAATGACAATGCAAAAGTGCGATTCATTTTGAAATCCTACAAAATTAAGAAATTGAGAAGACTTCTGGCTCTTTCCTTGTGGTCTCTTGATTCTGAATAGCAGTGCTAAATGATCAATAAATGAGCAAACAAGATGCAACTAAACGATTATTCAACTTAGACTAGGCATAGTTAAGCCAAAAAGATGTATATTTTCATAACCATTCTACTAGTGTTTTACTTTTATTCGTTTATTCGCTTTATAGCTGTACTTGGTGACACGTTTTCAAGTACCACCCCCCGTAACACTTCCAATGATTAGTTATGTGAAAAATGATGAGAGAACAAATGAACTCATGATTCAGACAGAGAGAATGAACAGAAAAAATAGAAGAGTTACAGGACGTGGTACTTAACGTTTCCCTACGTATACGATTTTGAAAAACCGATATAGCCACCCTCATCGATGAAGAAATGGGCACCACTTACCACATTGAATTTTTTTATTAATGCCGAAAACCATCATCTATTCACCCAAAGTAAAGTACAATTTGGTGAATTAATTTGACAAATGTATCAAGAATCAATGCGAATGCATTAATTATCGCCAATAAGGCTACATTCATATACTTCTTTAGTGAAACGGGCAGTTTATGTAGGTTATGTATCAGTAACAACGAATTGTTAGAAACCATAATTCCATTAATGAATAACAAATCAAGCTTCTGTTTGCTGGCTTAGTTACAATGTTATGATACAATTGATGTATTTTTTTTTTGGTGTTCGGTAAACCATGGATCATACTTTAGCTGGTAATGAACAAATTTATAACCTCAAAAATCATCAGAAAACCACAAATTGACCTCAGTAAAAACTTTCTGGTTTTCGAGATATTGGAACCATTATATAAAGCAATTGACTTCTTATCTCAGATCACTCTTTTATGCTCCAAGCAAATAAGGAGCGTTTCATATTAATTTTTATTTTTAGTGATATTACGAATAGTAAGTAACAATTTCAGAATGCAGATTTTATATGGCAGTAAATCCTGCCAAAAAAACTTGAAGGAAGATCTTTTTTTATAGATCGCAATTAACGGCTATAAAAAAATCTGCAATTGTTACTACTATTCAGTACCTAATATATATCAAGAATAATAATCAACATGAAGCTCCTTATGTACTTGAAACATAAAGTAATAATCTAACATAGTAATTCAATTTTTTTTATGAAAGTTCCAATATCTGGAAAACCGCGAGATTTTTACTGAGGTCAAGTTGAAGTTTTATGATGGGTTATAAGGTTATGAATTGTTTATCACCTGCTGAAATATGATCCATGGTTTACCGGACATCCTGTTAGACTTTCAAATCTTCACAGCTCGTAAAAAGCTCTATGGGAACCACTTCAATAAACAAATGAATATGAAACTAAGAAAATCTCTATGTTTTTGAGAAATCTTCATTACTGACCGATTTCATGAAAAACTCATTTTACTTGATTATTTGGGATTTTCTCTCCTCGTTTCTATAAAATAAAAATATGAGTTTTTTTATGTGTAGTAGGACAAATCGGACGATTTGTCCCCAAATGTCACTGCGATTAACACATTTTTCAATCAGGGAGCCTAAAAGAAAAATCCAATAGCTTGTCAGTCAGTTTGTTTTGGAAGAAATATAGATTTATTGGAAAAATATCGAATTTTTTTAGAGATCGAATCCCATATTGTAAAGCTTCGGAGCATCGGCTGGGGATAGTCCTGCACGATTCAATGTTGCGTTACAATCCACAGTGCTGCTTCTAAGGTCCTTATGGAGTTCGTAACGAAGCCTGCACAGAATACACTATTCAGCGCACTTTGAACTGAAGGACCAGTTGGCATGTAGAATAATGTACATCCATATATTGTATATTACACTGGTATCCTTTTAGAGTATGACTGACCAAAATCTAAATTATCATCAAGAAAAATATGCGTCAAAACTTCTACTTACAGAAGCGAGGAGTTCAGGCCCCACTTTGACATTTTACTGGTATAATTTGTATGAAATCACTCTGAGATAGAACTTGGTCGAAATGGTTGAGTTCTCGCCAGTGGTTCGTCACTGATGAATTCAGAAGCAAAAGTCAATCTGTCACATTATTTTCGAAACAAAAAGCTATGTGAAGAAATATTTTTTGAGTATTTATTCAATAGCCATGAACAGTCATATGGTTTACATACATTCAGGTACAAAATGAGCTTTAAAAGCTTGTGTGTGCACCAGTCACATTTATAACACAATTCACCTATGAGTGAATTTGCTAATGAATCGTCTTATATACTATATATACTATACTATCTGGACTAATATGTACTAATGTAATATACAATCTGAATATATACAATATATGCAATATATGTCAAACTAATAACTAGATATTGGGTTTGCTTTTTAAAATCCAAGATGATATTTTATTTTTGATTTTTTTGTATGGTTTGCCTTTGAGTTCGTTTGGCAGTATGTTATATATTGTTGGTCCTATATAAAATATACTTCGTTGAATGGTAACATAAGATGTAGTAGGAACAATTACTTTTTCATTTGTTACTGATCTAGTTGTTATAACATGATTAACTTTCGGTACATTCATTTTTGATAGATATCTTACAACAGATTTTAAGTATAATTGAGAAATGTCAAGAACACCTGCATCTTCAAAGAGTTTGTCAGTAGGAAATGTTTTATTTCTGAACATTATAATTTTTAGAATGTATTTTTGTGCTACATTTGAAGGAGTCATGGCATTAGCATAAGCTGAACCCCAGGCTGAGATTCCATATGATAACACAGACTCTACCAAAGCCCTATAAATATTGATAATGCTGTTCCTATCCAAAATTTGTCGAAGTTGATGGAATTTATAATATAACTTTCTAATTTTTAATACAACATATTCAATGTGATAGTTCCACTTCATGTGTGGGTCAAAGTAAGTTCCCAAATACTTGATTTTATTATTAAATTTAATTTTTAAATTACATTGACAATTATTCATTTCTTCACAATTGGGTTTATGAAATATCAGCGATTCTTTTTCAGGGAGGTTCTTTTTTGTTAAAGCAAAATACATGAAGTTGGACTTATCAACATTTAGGGTTAAAAGGTTTTTATCAAGCCATTTTTTCACTAAACATAAGGCGGTCTCAGCTTTATTAAACACCAAATTCCAAGAGTCATCCTGAAACAGCAAAGCAGTGTCGTCTGCATAGCAAATCACCTTTCCCTCAGATAAGACTCTGGTGAAGCTGTCTATATATATTATAAAAAGTATTGGCCCCAGCACAGTGCCCTGTGGCACACCACACTCCACCAAACAGGGATCACTGAGATATTCATGTATTTTAACTTGTTGATGCCTGTTGTTTAGATATGATTTGAAAAGGTCGTTTGGTATACCTCTGATACCTATTTGCTCCAGTTTGTTCAGTAGAATGTGGTGTGACACAGTATCAAAGGCTTTGGCCAAGTCCAGAAAGATTGTAAGACATTTTTTGTCATTGTTCAAACGTTCTGTTACTTTAAGAATAGCATCTTCTGTGTTACAGTTATGTCTGAATCCAAATTGAGTTTTTGAGATCAGATTATTATTTTCTAGGAAGCTATTCAATCGTAGTTTTATGCATTTTTCCAATATTTTACTTACATTGCTTGTCAGAGCTGTGGGTCTGTAGTTATTGATAAGTTTCTTTGAGCCAGATTTATGTAAGGGAACTATAACTGCAGTTTCAAAATTTTCTGGGAATATTCCTGTACTAAATGTGAGATTAATCAGGTAATAGAGGTAATTGTGATATTTTTTTTGAATTTCCGTGCCAATTTTATCTTGACCACTTGATGCATTATTTTTAAGGGTACTAATTATAGTTATAAGTTCATTGTCTTGAATTGGGTTTAGACAGAAGGAATTTCTGGGCGCTCTCATATGTCTTTCATTTATAGAGTTATTCTCTGTAGTAGGTTCAATTTTGTTTGCCAAATGTTTACCAACTTTACAGAAGAACTTATTAAATTCATTTGCTATATTCTTGTTGTTCTTTATTTCTTGTCCAACTTCATTGTAGATACTGTTTATCGATTGTCTAGGTGAGTAAGTATTTGTAACTTTTTTTATAGTATCCCATGTCTTTTTAGGATTACCTTTATGTTCATTGAATAAATTATTATAGTAGGACACTTTGGATAATTTTATCAAGTTTGTTAGATATTTCCTATATTTTAAATATTTCTGTAATGCCTGTGCATTATTGTGACTCAATGTTGAAATCTTTTTCAGTCTATCACGTTCTCTAATGGAATTTATAATTCCTTGGCTAATCCAAGGCTTTATTTTTCTGTTCCTGCATTTTACATAAACTAGATGAATGGCATTGTTAATGTGATTTGGTAATAAAGATTTTATCTTCATACAAGCATTACATGGTTTATTGAAGTGGTTCCATTATGATTCCGAACGTCACAAATAAATAGACGACAAGAAAAACTTGAAAACAGAAAATATACAAACATGAATGCAGAACGAGTAATATGTACAAATCACTAAATGCTGATGAAGAGAAATGTAGTATTTACATTAATTGAAAAATAAATGTGCAATGGAAAATATCGTGGATTGACAGCATAACGAATGTTAATGAATATGGGAGTATATACAAAGAATATTTTTGATATACAAAACAAAATAACAAAAGCATTGAAGCAATCATGAAAAACTCACCTCATCACTCGCCAAAATTAAATTTTTCACCTGATCCATAATGATAGGTAGAAGTATCTTTCTACATTGGGGAAATACGAAAATTTTGCTATGGATTATTTCGTTCACTGTCATCATTTTCTGTTTTGTAAGTCTTCCACTTGGCATATTATTTAACAAATCATACAAAGTATTACTGAAAAATAAATAACAATAATGAGTAATTTTCCTATAATATAGAGACAGCTTATCTGACAAATTTTAACTACTTATACAGAGTTACATAAGTCGATTACAGGGAAAAAAATAATTGAATGTCCAACAGAAAAAAGAGATGAAAAAATTTATGTTTTAAGTTTTTTACAGAAGCTTTTTGAAATGAGCCCCATTAGCTTTAACAGAAGTTTATGCCCTTTGAATCCAATTGCAGCGTACTGACTGAAATATTTTGTTGTTTTACGCTAAATGAAATATTTTGTTGTTTTACACTAAATGAAATATTTTGTTGTTTCTCATCGCACAAGTCAGGAAAGTAGTTGTGTTTTCTGTTGAATAAACCGAGAAAGAATTGATATTTTTACTACATAGAGAATGGGAATTCTCAATGTATTTCCTTATCTATTTTTCATGTTCATAATTTTCTGACAATGTCCCTTTCCTATTAATTAGCTTCAGATTATTTGGTAGTGAATTATATTATATCATTCCATTGTGATAGATAAATGTTTTACCAATATCTGATTTAAATTTCATGACAGAAAAATGATCTGCTTGTCTAGTTGTATAGTTGTGTTGACTACTATTAATTTGGAAAACCAAATTTGAATGCTTCTGACAATATTTAACTGAATGAATGAATGATAATAATTTAAATTTATATAATGAATCTATATCTGATAATTTTATACAAGATAGACTTGACAAAGGGTATTATGTAGTAGCTATTTTTATGGACCTAAAAAAAGCATTTGATACAGTTGACCACAATATTCTCCTGAAAAATCTTAATTCAATGGGTATCAGAGGTATTGGAAACAATCTCTTGAAAACATATCTTGAAAAAAGAACTATCAGTACTAAAATCAATAATTGTGAATCTAAAATCCTATATATAAACAAAGGAGTTCCCCAAGGATCAGTGTTGAGCCCAATTCTGTATCTTTTATACATTCAGAATATTTCAAAAATAAATTTAATAGGAAACTATGCCATATATGCAGATGACACAGTACTTCTATTTGAAGACAAAAACCCTGTAATTTTAGAAAACAACATAAATGAGGATTTGAAAAAAATGGAAGAATGGCTATACTCCAATCTTCTTTCCCTTAATTTTAATAAGACCCAATATATAATTTTCCATCAAAGAAATAAACAAAATATTGATTTGAATATTAGAATAAAAAATGAAAGATTGAAACAAACTGCCTATACCAAATACCTTGGTATTTGGATTGATGAAAAGTTAACATGGAACAAGCATATTGGCATGCTCAAAGAAAAAATTTCCCCCATAGTTGGTGCCTTAAGAAGATGGCCAAAACTTCTTCCGAATATAGCAAATACCGTTCTATACTCTCACATCCTTAGTAAAATTAACTATCTCATAAATAATTGGGGTTCATGTTCCAAAAATAACTTCAACAAAATATCTGTACTATATAAAAAAAGCATTAAAAGTACTGTATCGTCTTCCATATGACACCCCATCAAATCAACTTTATGAAGAAACAAATACATTTTCTTTGGAAGAGCCCTATCTGATAAATACTCTCAAAATTTCTTTTGATATTATCAACAAACACCTCAAATCTAACTTCATATTGGTGAAGAATTCTCAAATCCATGAACATCATACTAGACAATATGACTTGTTTCATCTTGATGCTGCTCATTCTACACTTGGTCAAAAAAAGTTCACTCACGGAGCTATCTCAAAATTCAATAAATTACCTGATGATATCAAAAGTTGCACAAATATCACCCAATTCAAAATCAAAGTCAAGAAACATATCCTCTTGCAAAGAGAAAATCAAACCTGAGTGAATGATTTCTCATTGAATAATTTATTTCATCATGTCATAATGTACTTTTTATGAGCTTTTTGTTTTATTATGTTTTTTTATTCTGTTGTTTATTTCAATAACTATAATTTAATTTGATAACGCATGAATAATCTCATACCAGATATGAATCTGTCTGATTATTCATGTTATTCCATTGTAAATGTTAATGATTATATTTATATTTATATGAGATGCAATGTGATGTTTATAGCAAAGAATGAAATAAATAAATAAATAGATAAAATCGTTGACCAAAGGCTGGGGGCCGCGTGGGTGAAGTTGTATTTAAAAAACTCAAGGTCTCGAATCATTACTTAAATTATCATTTGTATGTTTGGCATTCTGTTAATTCAGCTAATTATTCACAAAAACTCAAGAAAATATGATCGGCGAACATTTTGGTTGGATCAGGGCGCGTATAAAAAGTATATCCCGAATAAATAAATCAATTGGATATTGACCATCGTAGTCTTAGAAACTAATATCCGTTAACAATATTATTTATTACAGTTTTTTTTTTGCAATTGCATACCTCGTTGGCCCAGCACTGGGACCAAACGCCCCATAAGTCGAAACTTGTGCGGGGTTAGGTATACATACAAACACAAACATCCATGGCCTAACTAGGATTCGAACCTATGTCTCGGTGGGAGTCCCCATACGAACTCAGCGCCTTCACGCTCTCGACCACCGAGCCGCCTCGTGCGTTCGACGATTGCATTTTATGAAAATTGATAGTATAATATTCGTCATAATGTAACCCCCCAACAAAATGATTGGACCTGTTTTATGTAATAGTCCAAGAGCATGCTGCAAATTTCGGCCGTCATCTGATAACGAAATGATAAACAGTGTGTCCCAGCTAAAACTTGTCACCGCCAAATCTCCGATGTCCTTAAAAAAATTGAAAATCGCTCGGACAGGTCGATTTCAATTTGGCGGGTTTCAGAAATTGAAAAATTTATACAGAATGGTATTTTACGAAAATTAATATTATAAACTTGTTTCCAATCACAATTTTTCAATGAAATTTTGCGATTAACCTAATAGAAGGATGCTGAATTCAGTAGTGGAGTCGGATTTTCTCGAAAAAAAAAATATTCAGCAATTTTCAACAAAAAAGCAACAATAGTATGATATTATATTGCAAAGTGTAAACATAGACCTTTATACTTCTTCTGCTGAAACAAAAATAAATTGTATCGGTTGAAAACTGTAGATTTTACAAGGATCCACCCTTCTTGAGTGGGACACATTGTATTTATTGAATCATTAATTTTCGAGTTCTTACAATGCAATATTCCGTAATCTCCATAATTCAACTCTTCTTTTCTCCCACGGTCTATGGTGAATTTACATAGGTACTTACTAAAATAGTTGGAGAAATTCATATCACAAAAAATTATTTTTTCTACAAACGTCAAAAAATGACAAGGTTCGCGCAATGATAACAAATTGCGAAGTGACACTTTTTTCAGTTTCCTACGTTACCCCATGATACCTTGCACAAAACAATGCGCGAAGTAAAACAGTGCGCGAAGTACCTACTTCGTGCATTGTTATGTGAAATATATGAGATATTTATATTTCAACTTTATGGTCCTCAATCGAGCAAACATTCACGAAATCATTAATTTCTGAATGTTCAACAATAACTTTGTTTCATCTCTTGGAGCACACGAGAGGAAATTCCTATTATGTTCGTGGAACATCGTGCGTACCTAGGGAGGAGGGGGAGGCCTTTCAAGCCAGTTCAACACTATTTTTCATATCAAGCCAAGCATATTTTTACTTTAAAACTATATTTTTTGACGTTTGTAGAAAAAATTATGTTTGCAACTCGAGCGCGAAATACTTTGGTCATCTCGACTATTTTTTCAACGAGGCGTAGCCGAGTTAAAAAAAACAGATCTCGATCACCAAAGTAGCATTTTGCGCTCTAGATACAAAAATAACTATTTTCTGTAAACGTCAAAAAATGACTAGGTTCGCGCATAGACAACAAATTGCGAAGTGATATTTTTTTCAGTTTCCTACGTTACCATGATACCTTGCACAAAACAATGCGCGAAGTAAAACAGTGCGCGACGGACCTACTTCGCGCATTGTTATGTAAAATATATGAGATATTTATATTTCAACTTTATGGTCCCAATCGAGCAAACATCCACGAAATCATTTACTTCTGAATGTTCAACAATAACTTTGTTTTATCTATTGTAGCGCACGAAAGGAAATTCCTATTATGTTCGTGGAACATCGTGCGTACGTAGGGAGGATAGGGGGAGACCTTTTAAGCCAGTTCAACAATATTTTTTTTAATCAAGCTAAGCATATTTTTACTTTAAAAATATATTTTTTGACGTTTGTAGAAAAAATGTTGTTTGCAACTCGAGCGCGAAATACTTTGCTCATCATCAAAGTAGCATTTCGCGCTCTAGATACAAAAATAACTATTTGTACACAAAAATGATAATAAATAACCATCAGTATTGATTGAATGTATTCTTTCTCAGGTACTCAATGAATGACTGAAATATTTGAATTTTTTGTTGAGTAGTACTTAAATAATTGAAGAAAAATTAATATTCCATTTCAAAACTCTGTTGTAAGTAATATTAATACTAAGCTGTGAAATACATATTTTTGAGACCTTGAGAATTCTGTAGGTAAAATATAGAATTTCTGGATATCAAGGACTTGTGATTCTCATCACCACAACACACTCGTCTTTTCGAATGTGTTTACCTATTTGAAAAAGAGAAATGGTATGTTTGAGATCATAATGATTTTTCCGACAGGCCTTGTAATGAATCAAAGATGAAATGAACAACATCAACAGAACACTCACCTTAACTGTATATGATCGAATACTAAGAGGATGTCTGGTATACTGCTTGGCAGATACTTCAAACAAGCGCCTTGCTCCCTTATCAGCCTCTCATTACCGGAAGACATCATAGATATGATGTTTTGCAGAAGCTCTCGCATACTCTCATCAAAATCATCTTCCGGGTCGTTTTCCGGATATAATTCCACATACAAAATTCTACTTCTTGCTACAAATTTCATGAAGTATTGCAAACATTTCATCGTTCTGAAAATCCGATCTTTCGAATCCTCCGTAGGTTCACTGGCTTTACTGACAATTGATTTCAAAACTGATATTAATTTCCTGCAACAATTGAGCAATAGAAACATCTAGCATCTAATTTGAACACGTCTATTCAGAAAACTCACCTATAAGCTAAAGTAGCACTAAAACTCTCTTTTATGTATAATTCGAGAACAGGTTCGAAATGCTGGTACTTCCAATCATTACTGACTAGACTTACGATTTCTAATAGGCACTCAAATACCAAGGTGTCGTAAGTATCATTGTTTGGATTATCCATTAAGATGTTGAACAACGCATCGAGGATATCCTGCAGGAATTTGACAACCTCTTCTCCATCAACACTTCTTAAAGCTTTCAATGAGTCTATCAAAGTTTCTTTATGGGAAGCCCAGTTCAGAAGACCCAACAATTTCACTGAGAAAAAAAAATTCTTAGGTTAAATACAATTAAATATCAAAACATAAGGTTCTTGAACATCCATGGTATGGCATAATTACAGGCCTATATAAAACAAGTCAACTGCCTGAAGGAATTTTTTGCTTTAACTTCTAGGGGGCAATTCAAATTGCTGGCAATTTATAACTAATTATAATGACTTTTTATCAGAAATATGTGTGTTTTGGTTCTTATAGTACGAACGTTATGTAGAAGGAAACATGGAAGAACAGTATCATTAAATTTTCATCTAATAATGTTGGCAGAACTGAAAATCATCAAAATTGCACCAGTAATAAGAGAGTACACGGGCGTGTGAAATTTCTACTCAAGCATAGTTTTTTCGAACTTCTATTTATAAATATCTCATCATCATACCGAGTTGTTAACCCCCCTGGGAGGTGAGACTTGGAGTGAGATTGGAAAATTACATGAGATGTGGTTCTAACGGTGGGAAATAGTACCGGGGAGTTTGGGGGGTTAGAATTGGACAATCACGTAGGATGGACCTTGGACGATGGAGAATAGTGCTCGGGGGTTCTTGAGATCGCTGATTTCATTTCCAAAGTCTGTTTCTACTTATTCGCCCCCCTAGGGGTGAAAATACTATCTTATTTATCATCATTCGACCATCCCTCGTCAAAGTTCAAAGTTCACCCCTAGCCTCCCCCATTTTCACCCACAGGGTAGGAGCACAAGTGGAAACTGACCCCAACAATGGGATCAGCAAGGACGAGTCGATAATGAAATTGAATAAAACAAGTGGGTACGTAGTTTTTAAAAGGTATCATATTAGTATAGATGTAGTTTTCATAAGGTATTAGTTTATTTAGAGGTCAGATAATTTATACGACGCTATAGAAGCAGATTATATTTTATCATTGCTCATGTAAGATGGAAGTAGAGGCCATGGAACCATATCATGAGTATATTTTTATATTGAAACTATCATTGGGCACCAAGGATGTGTATACGACGCTATGAAAGTTCGGAGAACTAGAGATTTTTCCCACAAACTACGTACTTAGCCCACTCGACTGTCTTGGTTTTTCCACACAGTCGAGTGAGCTAGGTACGTAGTTCATGAGAAAAAAATCAAGACACTCGAGTGTGCTTTTTTTACTTTCTTTTGTTTTTTGTTTTGTTTTCTATTGGCAAGTGATTATTTAGGAACTTGTGAATTTTTTAGTTTTTTCATCGTATCTCCAGAACTATTGAATTCAGAGAAAAATGTTATACGGATTTTTTGTAGATTTTATCAAAAGGAATAATTTTGGTTTCATAACATTTTTAGATATTTTCAGTTGTTTTCGAGATATTTGGAATTATCTGAGAATAAAATTTTCAACACTTTTTTTCCATCTTCCAATCAACAAAATGAAAAAATATTTCATGGTTCAGTGGAAGTCGATGAGCTTCATCTACCGATATTCTTTGTTTTTCAATAAATCTCCATAGTACCCTATGGGTCGTTAAAATTTTTGTTTTCATATTTTTCACTTTATTTCCTGTACTATTGGGTTTACAGAAAAAATTATGGGAAATAATTTGTAGGAAATGTTCCAGTGGATAACTTTGCACTCCTGATAATTTTCGATTTTTTCATTTGTTTTCGATATATATTGAATTGAAAGGATTTCAAATTTTGATGTTTTGCTTTTCATTTGTTTTTCCATTTTCCGATGGATGCACGAAAAAATGGTTAAATAATAATTTGTTGCGTCATCAAAGAGGCATACGGTGCATTTTTCAAATTTGGATTTAGTCTATTGGTTCAGGAGATATGTCGTTTTAAAGTGAACCGTGTTTTTCGGAAAATCTCCTTGAAAAACCCACTTGGAATTTCCCGACCCTGCTCAATTTCAATAGGCTTCGTCTCTCCCTGATAGAGGTTTTTTTCACAAAAAATGAAATCGATCGGACCACTTTTGCGATTTGTAGAGTGGTTACAAGGAACTTCCGGTGAAAAATCGAAAAAACCCGGAAAAACCACCTTGTAGTTTTCCGATTTCCTTCATATTTTAATGACATAATATTGTTTTGAGTACAATAAGATGGCAAAATTTCAAGTCGATATGTCAAAGGGTTCCGGAGATATATCGATTTATGATTAACACAGAGTACAGACAGACAGACAGACCACACACAAAAACCAAAGTTGCTCAAAATTCGATAAGGATCATTTTCTCCAACCTCTATCTCGCTTAGTTTCCGAGATAGCATTTTTGGCAAGGCCGTAGTATACTCCACTATGTATAGCGTCGTATAACAAGCTGTGGGTTAGATATTAACGGAATTCTGTCAGGCCAATGTATGCCATTATGTATGGAATATAACATCGTTCACATGTCCGCCGCGGCTTCTCACGGTGACATTTTGACAATTTGAGCGATAGCATCAGTTATGTTGGCTTTAGGGGCATTGGTCGATTGCGGCTTATTTGCATGAACCTGCGACCTCAGGAAACCCGACAAGAAGAAGTCTAACGGAGTCAAATCGGATGATCTAAGTGGCCAATTCACGTCACCTCTACGAGAGACAACCATACCCTAAAATCGTTCATGCGGAATGTCCATCGTGGCGTCAGCTGTGTAGAACGTAGCCCCATCCTACTGGAACCGCATGTCGTATACCTCCATATCGTTCAATTTGGGCCAGAAGAAATAAGTTAGCATCGTTCTGTAGCGCTCGTTGTTGATGGTGATGGCCTCACCAACCGGGATTAGATGATCGGTTAGGGTGGAAATGGAGGGTGGGCTAGGGGTAAAAATTGGACAATTACAGAGGAAGATAATTATTCTAAAAGTATTTTCGCGATTAGGGGGTGGGTGCATAAGTAAAAACAGACGGAAATAAAATCGGTGATCCCGAAACCTCAGAGTCTTATGTTTGAACGTTCAAAGCCCATCCTTTGTAATCGTCCACTTCTCAGCCCCAACCTCCCCCATTTCAACCCCCCTGGGGGTATATAAGTAACAACTGTCCTTGACAACGAAGTCAGCGATCCCTAAATGCCCTGGGTACCATTTCTCACCGTCCAAACCGCATCCTATGTCCAATTATCACCCACAACCTCAGCCCCCCTCCATTTTCACCCCCTAGGGGGTGAAAATGAAATGACAATCGACCTCAGAAACGGAATCAGCGACCCCAAAACCCCAGAGTACTATTTTACACCGTTCAAACCATATCCCATATAATTTCAGAACTCGCCGTGAATATCTTTGTAATCGTTTGAAATAACCCAATCAAACCCAGTTTTGTTGAATTCGTTAGGTACCGATTATTGAATGAAATACAGGGTGTTCCATTTGAAAATCCTAAGTTGACGTCATTTCCAGGAAAACCGGAAGATTAACGAAATAAGTTATCTGAAAAAGTTATTTTCACAATCTGGTGTGAAGAAAATGAGGTTTTTATCTCATTTTCATCGAAAAATAAATGTATCACTATTGTCAACCTATGTTGAAGAAAAAATCAGATAATTGTAACAAGTTCGACAATATTCGAAAAATAGGTATATTAAATTTTCTGGAATAATTGCTTGATACTAAGTATGTGAGAATAAAATTCTAACCAACGTTTATAACGTTTTTTCGATTTCTTGCCATCTTACTTCACTTTTTGTCTCTTCGTAGTAATATTTTTCATTTAACCGCCATACTAGTGATCACGCGATCAGGTATCAAAATCGATTTTTAGGATATTGCATAATAGATCCACGAGAAATAATATTTCTATACACTGAGCATAATTTCAGTCCGGTGGAAAATGGTTGGTATTAATGTTGCTTCCTCCTAATACTATTTCATAAATTATATGATAACCCGAAATACTATATTAAGGAAATATCAAATACTCAACAATAAAACTATGTCAATCTGTTGCTTGCTCTAAAAACGAGAACGCGGCGTGACTCGTATGAATGGTACTGTTTGCCGATTTCATGCGATTTGGCACCTTCGGAATCCATCACAGATATTACGTGGCGGCGTTACCACAAATGTGGTTTGCATTTTCAAAGGGTACTTCACATTAGTCTTCGTAAAGTACCAAGTGTGCAAAAAATTGGACTATTCAGACCCATAAGTTTCTTCTTGAAATTCGAAAGCCCATCATAGATATTGCAATAATGAAATAGGGTATTGAAGGCGATTTCATTTTAATAGTGACTATCAGTATTTTATTTTGGGAATTAAACAGAAATAATGCGTGACTTCACTTCACGGCTGGCGCTTTCTAATATTCGTTTCGATATTGTCTGGCATATGTCATATTTTATATTGATATAAGAGTAACTCGTAATCTTCTTGTGAAGCAGAGTTCTAATTCTTATCAGACTAGGTACCCATTCGATTTTCAATAACTGAGTAATACTAAGATATGCGAATTGCGACCATCAATTGAACAAAATTTACAATCATTCACAATCATATTATGTTCTTTTGTTCTTTTTAAATAATTATTCTCAAAAATTTCAATATTTCACTATCTAGTATACTATTTCCTTCATTTTAACAACAGTTTTTATGATGTGCCATTATTCAAAAGCACCAAAATTGAAATTCTACATGATTTCAAAATTCAGTGGACTTAGATTATTTTCCTTTAAGAAATTAGTTGATAAGGCAGGCAAACAGTAATGATTCAGGCTATTTTTTATCTGATTTCATTTCCACATCACGTTGTAAATTCGATTTACTTTGAGTATCAAGTCACGATTATTTGCAATTTTTTTTCAACTGGAAATAAGGAAGAGAAATGCTCACCCCTAAACGTCCAGTAATGAAGACATCAGGCAGTATTTGAATGTAGTTTTCCTTATTCTGAATTAAGAGCTCATGCGCATATGTGAAATTGACATAGACTTTATAACTGCTGGACGTTATTTGCCACTCTAATAAATCTTTAATATTATTGGGTTGCCTATTAAAGTGAACCTCGTTGACAAAGAGGTGCGATTGGCATCGCTTGTTATCCTCCTGAACATATGGTTTCATGTAGATTTCTCATAAAAAGCATGTACTTTCCCTAGGTAGCGATTTACTTACTTTCTCTTCATGAATTTATCAACATAACTATTGATAAATGTGGGATTCACTTACCATTTTGAGTCAACTTTGTGGAACATATATTACTAGAAATACAAAACGAGTCTTTACTGGACATACTCAATCCAGGCACTTGTGGTTTTTCTTTCACATTGTCTCTCAAATCCCAGAGACTCGAAGGCAAAGAAAAATAATCGAGAACAGTTTCGTCGAATTTCTTATGATCTATTTTGTACACGATGAGATTATGCTTAGCATCTTTGAGAGTCGTGCCATCGTCTTGCATCAGTTTGACGTAGCACATGGCAAAGGGCTTCTCATTTTTGTCTTTTGCTTCATTGGAAGAACGATGTTTGAATATGAATTTCAAATGACTAGTTTTGAACTCTTCGATGGGTATTGCAACTTTGAACGTCTCGTACCATTGAGGCTTGTCTTCGTGGTAATAAATCACGGAACGATATTCGTCTAACAAGGATGCACCTCCTCCTATACTTATCACTCCCTGAAATAAAGCAAAAATTATGAAATATTTCAATTCTTATTATCTATTGCAACATGCAGGATGCTAGCTAATTTTTTAAGGTAATTATTCATCTAAACTGTTTAATTCATTTTGATAGTGAATAATGAGCTCAAGTAGACCTAGAATAATGAATTACCAATTACGAATCAAATTAGGTTGAAAGTGATCCCGTTCGAAAGTCAACTATGGGGGAGGAATATGGACTAGGCCTGGTAAAAAATATAGATTTATCGAATAACGATATATAATTTCAAGAATATATCGATATATCTACAGTGAGTCTCATTTCAAACGGCCCCCCCTCTATATCTCAGCTATCAATCGTGCGATCTTCATCAAATTTGTATCGGTATGAATAATCATCAATATGACCAGTTCTTCAAAGACTAACATCATTTTAAACAGTGTCGTGCATTTTTATTGAAATAAATAGGGGTCAGTTTTTTATTAAATCATATTAGGCATTTTTTCACAGGAAAACTGACCTCATAATATTGTTCTTCATGCCTATGAAGGGTTTCAGAAAAACAGGTACATCTGAATAGCATTTTTGCGAACGTAATAATTATTTAATCGGAAACGTTGAGTTCAACATAAAAAAGTATAACTTGTTTTTCCTTCCAAATCATGATTTTCCACCTTCCGGAGCCATTGAACGATTCAAAATTCGTAGTTGATTTGAAGTCACTATTTATTCGAGACTGAAAATGAAAAAGATTAAGCCAATCCTGTTAATTCGGAATTAGGTGATTTTTTGCATATAGGGATTCGAAAGCATGAAGAACAATAATATGAGGTTAGATTTCCTGTAAAAAAATGCCTAATATGATTTTATGAAAAATCGACCCCTTTTTAGTTCAATGAATGGTTATTCATACCACACCGAATTTGAGTGGAATCGCATGACTAATAAGTGAGATATATAGGGAGGGCTGTTTGAAGTGAGACATGCTGTATATAACTATTGATATATCGATAACTATAGATTCTTCGATAATAGAGCCAATACACGGTGTTTAACGATGTTTGTTTCTGAAAAACTGGTCATACTGATGGTTATTCATACCGGTCGAAATTTGATTCCAATCGCACGAATAATAGCTGAGATATAGAGGGGGGTGTTCAAAGTGAGACACACTGTATATCTGGAGAAATCATGGATAATTATATTGTTTTGATCTTCCCAAAAACAAAAATTATAAAAAGAAACTTCTCAAATATTCTTCATGTTTCTTAACGTACAGGTTGGCGCTTGGCAGACAGCTTCAAAAATGTACAAAACGTTAAAAAAAATGATTTTTCTCATTCCACACGGGATATTCAAGTACACAAGCTTTTTGACAAAGAGTTATTATAACTCTGAAACTATGACAGATACCACTTAGTTTGTCATAAAAATTGACCCTCGGGCACCTTCATCTAGTTTGAAAATAGTTTCCCTTTAATATTGTCCATGTTCTTTCCACCCTGTACAGTCAGAGAACCATCTGTGGTTTATGTTAAATTGTAGAACATTATCACTGTGCTACGTCAGTTATTTGAGAAGTATTATCACTAACGTTATTGTCGTTCTAAAAGACAAACTCTAGTAGGCTCCATGGTATCTCGCCAACTAGATTATTCAATTAGAATAAAATTCAGGGTAGATGATTCAGGTCGGAATTCCCAGTTATGTTTCTAAATTATGATGAATATTTTCAGTAATTCCTTTAATTTCCTTGAAAACTGATAAATTTCTATATACCACTTACTGGAATGGGCCTCCCTTTCTCATTGCACACTTTAACTATAACCTCCACATTTTTATCACTTGTTTTATTGCCTTTGGTGAATTCCCCACCAATCAATGTCAAGTACAGATCATTCCGGACATCACCAGGTAAAATTACTTCCGGGAATCCCATTTTCCTTGCTATTGACACATTACCCAAAACCAAATGGGGATTTTCTTCCCTCACCTAAGAAACAGGAATGAATCTATATTTATTATACAGGCGTTATTCTGCATAGTACCACAGCATATTCAACTCATCAAAATAAATACATAGACAGGTTAATCGAGGAAGTGGATTATCAATTTCCCTAGATTTTTGAAATAATCTCTCCTTGTTGACCAAAATAAGGTTGCACAGCATGGGAATCTCGAAAACAGGAAAAAAAGTGTCACATTCATGGGCTATTGTTTTTAGTTTTCCAGTTATATCGGAAAGAGTGAATTTATGGAAAATCTAAATATTTTCTACTACTTTTGATGAGATTTGACGTAGTTATGTTGATTCCTGATTATGTGTTCACAGATTCTTAAAGCTTTTTTATTATGAATTCAACCATGTACAAGGTTGTTTGAATGTGTTTCAACCTAGTTATAGCTATCATCAATGTTTTATGGAAGTTCTGAAGAGAAAAACCATCAGTTCCACTTATTTCTAATCATTCAGTGTTAAACCCTGATGTAGTTATTTAATACTGGGAGATTGAAAACAAATTATTCAAAGCATCGCTTCAAATTGTTTCATGTTATTGGATTCTTAACCCTTTGCGTCCTACTGGTCATGCCAGATAACCACATAACAAATAATTCATCGGCGCTCTACTAGTGGTTCTGTAGCATAACCACCGTTTATACACAATACTAATACAGCCACCTATGAACTGAATTGATAACTGCGGCATTGTTTCAACTTACTAACGATGGCGTCAGTAGCTTTTGGCATCTGATGAGTATACGTAGTCCTACTGGTCACTTGCGGCAACCACCTGGTCACTTGGGGCAACCACTTTTTTTTTTAAATGGACGATTCAGATTTTTTCTTATATTCCTCATTGTTTTTATGATGTTTCTGGTCACATAAAATATTGTTACGATTTTACTCTGGGTCCGTAATAACTTAACACTCGGTATAACACTTAAAACGATTTATTCTGAACACTACTATACAATAATTACAATACTCGTACTAAACACTTCCGATTCACAACACTTCTTCGATCGTTATTATAACGCTTCCAAATAAAGACTTCCCTTCCTGTCCCTAACAACAACTATTTATACTATCTAATAAAACGTCTAGATTCCACTCGAAATATCGTGAACAGGTCGATAATCTTCTCGAGTCATCTCAATAGCCGTCGAATCACCTAATTACTATTCCAAGAAATATGGCTTGTTTACATTCCCGCAGGTAGCTGGGATCGATTGCCAGGGTCGTAACAATATTTTCAGAAAATAAAATCTCAAAAAACAGCATCGTAAACTTTGGTCCTGTACAATAAATATGTTTTTGGCAAGCAACATATTTGAGGTTTCTCAAAAGAACATTCTGTTGGGCAACGTTTCGCGTGTTCCAGTTATGGTTGATATTATTTCTAAAGTACCTACGTCATTTTCAGCATAAATTTGGCAACTGCTCTAAGGTAAAGTTGGTTTGGAGTGACTAATCCACTTTCTTCATATACTAATTGAGATGTAATGCGATTTTTCATCCATTTTTGTCGGACTTGTGGTGTTGCTCGGCAACACAATTTCGTGAACAATGAAGCAACAGAATCATCTCGAATATTCAAAACTTCGTGATATTACTTATGACGATTTCACTCTTCACATAATCTGACCAATCATAAGCCAGATACAACTTATGTTATCAGTATTAATGCTATAATTTCTTCAAAATATTCTGGTTATACATCGATAACTTATTGCATAATTACGACGAGTTTAGCATAAAATAATTATAGCTGTAGTTGCCAGAATGAATCGTTTTTTGATAAATGGTTTTTATCATGCTTCGTGAACGTGAAAAAGTCTAGCAAAATACCACTCTGTTCTGAATATCTTCTTATAATTCTGTCTTTCATTGTTTACGAAATCGTGTTGTCGATCAACAATTGTACGGCAGCACAATTGAGAATTATTATCATTATTATTATCTTGAATATTCAGAACATCGTGATAATACTTGCGATAACTAAACTTTGACAAACCAAACAGTATTTAAAAAAAATCAACATTCATAACAAATGTTCAAAATTATAACCATTATATTCTAAGCAAAGATATCCTCTTCTATCAGTTGCTTCTGAGAACATTCTAATCATTTCTGGGGCAATACTATTGAATGATTTGATAACACTGTCCCTTAGTTCTTTCGCTAAAACTACGTCGAAACACGTCCTAACCAACTCCGAGCAATACATTGTTGGTTTACCCAATTGATGCTTGCTGTTATAAATAGAGGTCTTATTCGTAGAGATACATTCTGTTTTTCCCCATTCTTTATATACAGTACATATTTGATTATTGTACTAAACTCATTGTTATAAAACTTGTTTTTTGTAAGTTTCTTGGAACAATAAATGTAACCTAAACTAATCTAATACATGGAAGAATTTAGAATAAAAAAGCTAACTATCAGAATCTGTGAAACATAATCAGGATCGAATTAAAAAAAGTTGATGATGGTTATACGAATTCGAAACGTCGGGTAGAGAAATCAATATCACCACGTCAATGGTGTAGATCTAGAATTTTATGTAGTACAACATCATTTTGGTTGTTTGTGTAAAATATCAGAATCATCTTCAATAATACAGCAAATATTGTAGCTGTAATTAACTCTGTATACTGATAGTCTGACTTTATCAAACAAGCAAACTAACAGTTGTTGCCTATCAATACATTCAATGGTGAACTGTCACTTTCATGTTTGGGAAGTTTGATAGTCAGATTTATGATGTTATTATATATGTTGGAGAAAATGTGGCTGCTAAATGAATGCTGTTAGGGAAAGTGTATTTTTTCATTGAACTGAATTGATTACAATGTCATGTGTAATTATAAGCAATTTGAGAACAACGAGAGGTAATGTAGTTACTTTACGGGCGTCAAAGTGCCACTAGTGCATGAATATATTTATTGCTTGATGCCTGTGAAATTAATAGTAGTTAATATTTTTCTTATTATTATTTATGATGATGATGGTTATTATTGTGAATGATTCGAATTGAACTGACCTGCTTCAAATCTCCTCTCAATAGTTTAATACTAACAAACAAGGAATAGTTTTTATTTTCGACTTTTTCCTTTGTTATGATCTTCCTAAGAGTTTGCTCCAGATTATCTCTGTCACAACTGAAAAAAAAAAAATTAGTGCAAAGATTGAAAGTAGAACTTTCTTTACAAGCGAACGCAAAATTTTTCAGTCAAACAAAGTCACCATCGATCTGAATGAAACATGCAATTTCTCCTGTCACCATATTCAGAATTAGGAGTAGGAACACTATTTTGACGTGAGTGACGTGACATATTCTAATGGATTTTAGAGAAGTATTTAGAACTCTTTTTATTTTTTTGCAAAATATATCAACAAAATCATCCATTTCTAGTTGAATGCATATGAATGAAAACTGAATGATTATTTATATTATTCAACGAAAGTAAATATTTCATCTATTTAAAAACTAACCACATTTAGAGAATGCATCTCTTTCAAGAATGTGAGTATTATTGGATGAATAATGAAAAAATGAGCAAGAGCATAACACAAAGTGAACCATAGGAATTTATATATCCTTATACCAAGATGCATACCAAAGGACATATTTAGTGTTCATACAAGGTGGATTCAAATTGCATACATAAATTGAAGACCAACACTCCTCAGTCTGTCTTTAAAATATTCTGAAATTATAAAAGTTTTCCAAATTCTTGAATTAAATGAGATATTTGATGTTAGAAGCTTGAGAATTGAGTTGAAGTCTTTATAGAAATTATTAGCTTGTGTGTGTGTGATAAAATCCCAAATCTACATACTTTGAAATCAATTAATGTTGTGAAGAAAATGAAAAACCTACGTTTCTATATTATGGTACCACACGGCTGTTTACCCTGAGTCATCTTGGTTTAAATGATTTGTATTAAATTCAATTTCACCCTGTATAGACCAAGTGACATTATGAACAATGATACTATCACTTTTGAACACATAATATGTCACTAGGATCATAAGACAATACGAAGTGAGGAGTGATTGTATACTTGAAGTGAATGTTTTCAAAGTGCTCAAAATGGACCATTTAACAGCATAAAATAATTGTTTGCCCTAAATCTAACTTACAGGAAATTCCACATATTTCGAAATCTTGTTCAAGACAAACATTGTTTAGATCCAGACAAGTAGCTGTCAAGTTGTTTTTCGTCAAAATTGAAACACCTCCTCCTTTCATCTTTTCTCGGCAAAAATTGCTTTGCAGGAGAAATTTATTGTTATAGAAAGAATGCACTGAGTCTTCTTTGCACCAAGTTTCTGTCAAACATACTACACTTAAGTTGAACATAGAAATATCCGAATAAATATCATTAAGTTTATCTTGATTCAAGCATTGAACGTTAAGTAGGAGAAATTGAGGGTTAAATATCAGTTCCATACTTTTGCTGTGGACCTCTTCTCTAAAAAACGGCTAATACAGGATCCATAAGGCTATATACTGGGATTCATAGCCTTCTTAAAATTGTCTTCCATAATTTTTACTTTGAAGGATGAATATATGTTTGGGAATTTGGAATTGATCATTTCACAGGATACTTCCGGAAAATGATCTTTCAGCAATGTCCTCAGCGAGTCCACAGTTGTGTCAGTATCTACTCTGCTGACATGTAATGTTACATACTTGGGTACGCCTTTCACACTACCACTCTCAGTGTTATTTCCAAATACTAAGTTGCGTTTTCTGTTCCGCTTTCGATCAACCATCTTCCACTGATGGGTTTCTATTGTTGATTTCAAATCATTTCCTCCTTGGTTATGAGACTCCAATGCGTTGTTAATATTCTCGTTGTTGAGGTTTATAATTTCATTCAATTTCATCCTGGTTTCTTCCTGCATTAGGCCTGAAGCGACGTCTCCACTTTTTATAACATAGGAGTATTCTTTTGCGCCAGCCATATTATTCATTACATGACATGGTTGGTTTATAGAAATACCCCTCTTTTCGGTTAAATTAGGCACCGCGACAACACTGTTCATCTCATTATATTCCGTCGAGGTACCAGCCTGACCTTCGACGTTTTTTGTAGCTGGTGATTTTTTGTTCTTTGTTGGCGCTTTCTCATATTTTGGATGGTTTTTATCACTCACTACTTCTAAATGTTTTTTCTGGTCACTTAATAAATCGATATGATTATTCAGGATCTTGATTTTTTCCCTCAATTCCTTGATAATAATATCTTTTTGTTTCAAAATATAACTGAATATGTGTGAATCCACTTTCTTTTCATTATTCATGTTATCTACAGCATCATAGAATGCCGAGTCGATGTCTTCTTCACTCACAGGTGCATCCACTGCTTTGCACGTGGAACATAAAAAGTCAAATTGTCTCTTCGAGAGTTCATTAATTTGAGTTTCATTAAGGCCACTACACTCCCGATGGAACCACTGGTTGCAGAGTCCTGTACACCCTATTTTCAAACTTGATTCAGCGATGATTCTGTTGCATTTACCACAGATTAACTTATTGGACATCTTTACTCATCACAGCGTTGCCACGCACACAAATATGAATTTGTAATTAGTTTCTAAGCATTTCTTACCTAACAAAAGGTATTGCATATTCCCGTTCCAGATCTGTTTCAGACTTCCCACTCATATAGTCTGTCACGTCAAACGCTGCTACCCCACAAGGTCGCCTCATGTTTTCATTATAATTTTTCTTGGAATAAACGCTTACCGAACTTCTTCGATGGTCCAACTCTTTTATGTCCATTGCACCTACCCTTATCACATGGCACACCAAAAATATCCTTTCTCTTTCCAAGTCCTTTTTACCTAAATCCTACAAGAAACATTGAAATAGACAAAAAGACCCTTGTATAATTAATAAATAACATTATTTTATTGAACACTAAGTTTCTCAGAGCGAAATAAATCAAGGAAAATGTTTACATAATCTTGTTTTCATTAAAAATGACAAGGAATCACCCCCTATATTTGTTTGAACTCATTCATTTAGCCTGAGTTCATAAAGTCACTCTTGTGAGTAGAGCAGAAGTATGGTCGGCTGATTAGAAATAAATCGTTCAGAAACCCTTATGTGAAGGTATGCAAGATAAAAAATGTCAAGTGTTAGAAAACTCACAGGTTTTTAGGTTTCGTTTCTTACTCAGAGTAAGTTCATGAACGCACCATCGGACTATACAAACAAGAAATAAATAGAATGATAACCTGGAAACGTATTTCGCGTGTTCACTCAATTTGCTTATTTCACAAAAAAAATTTATTTCATAATTCGATAGAACTGACCCACTAGCTCACCACCGCAAACCGTTTCTTGCTGTGAGCTTCCTACGTTTTATAAAAATTTATTGAAATCCCCGATTTTTCGGACCTCTGAAAACAAGGCGATGATACGACGTCAAAACCCTAATACTGAAACAAGACTATGCCAGAGAGAGGTGAAAGATACATGATTTCTGACAAAGCACCAAGATAGGTGAATCGGCAAGTTGATTTTTGGGACAAAGATAATAAGAACAAGAAGAAGATCAATTTTAACCTATATTAACTTTTTGCAGCTCCATGTAAAACGGGTCAACAAAGCAATGTTGCTGTGTTTATGAAATATATTGGATTATTGTGAAATTGTAATGGTGCATATGGTTTTGAGATTGAAACATTTCGTTGTCTAGAGATTGTTTATATTCCAATGATTCAACCTACAATCGACAACTTGAATATATTTTTCTGCAGTAGTGGTAGTGGATATCAAAAGATATTTCAATATCGATTTCGATCTCTCGGATATTTTGTTTGGATGATATGGCAACAGTAATAAGTGTCAGTTTTACCTATGGCGAGATGAGGTTTCTACGACATAAGAGGGTCCGTTTTCAGAAGGTACTATTATTTATGTCCAAAAATAAAATATTCCAGTTAATTTTTCGATCGAATTATGTCGACAATCATTATTTATGTATAAAAAGAACATTTTAAACATGGTTTGGGTTGAAAGTTCTACTAAGGTGTACACGCCCATTGGGATCATCTAACTAAAAAGCAACAGGAAGCGTTCACTAAATCTACATGGACATGACATAATTTTTCTAATGGACATCACGCAAATTGAATCAAATCAAATAAAGTTTATTACCAGATTAAAGTGTAAATGGTGTACAAAAAACATATCATTCACATTTTGTCCAGCTTATCACAAAAAAAAAAGAAACCAATAGAAACATTACTGATACATAGGAAATATGTTTACGAAACACACTCTTAATAATTAATTAATAACTACTACACAAGAAAACAGTTACTTATCACATGTGAAATTACACATCCAAATATTACTGAATTAGGTTAGATCAACGTTTTGAGAGAATTCTTCAATACTGTAGAATGCCTTGCCCATCAAGAAATTGTTCAATCTATTTTAGAACTGATTCATTGTGTTACAAAGTTTTATTGGTTCATCTAATTTGTTGTATAATTTGATGCCTATATAGTTTGGATCATTTTGGCCGATTTAGAGTCTTCTAAATGGTAAGTGTAACTTACCTCTATCTCTTGTGCAATAATCATGTAGACAATCATTTGTTTTGAAAGAGGTCGAGTTATTTCTGATAAACACTAAAACCTCAAAGCTGTATAAACATGGCATTGTCAGCATGCCCAAACTGATGAAGTGTTTTTTACAGTGTGAGTTATAAGGCAACCCCAGCATCAACCTGATGGCTTTTTTTGTAAAATAAAAATCTCTTCGGAAGCTGCGCTATGGCCCCAGTAAATTATTCCATAACGAATAGCTGATTCAATAACACTATTATATAGCTTTTTTTTAGATATTGTGTTTTTTAATTGCCTTAAGAGAACCAATTGTCTATGCAACTTAGATCCTGGATTTTCAATGTGTGATTTCCACGTCAACTTATGATCAATTGTGATCCATTACCTACATGAAATGAAAATGTTATCCTGTACATATTAGAGATAGAACTATGAATGTTCATGTCCAGACACTTTCTGTAATTTTCAAATTTACTTTGACTTTCGCTCAACTCACTGAGTCAGTATGTCAGTTAAAATGATCATCACATTTTCAAATGTTTCAATGAGACTGTGAATTTATTTTCGATTTCATGAGCTTGAACTCGTTCAGTTATTTGATAGAATACTTAGTTTTGGAAACAAAAAACCTAACCCATTCCAAAAAGAACAAATCGAATCATTTAAAAATAACATGTTTCTTGACAAAATTAACTGATTATACTCACGGTAAACATAACCCTCAAGTTATGCATTTGATCTATGTCACTCATCAATCCTTCTTTAGTCCATCTAACTACGTAGTTTTCTGTAAATGCTTTGAATTCCTTGCCATCATATAATGTCATAAGTAATTCGGCATCTTCTGTCATCTTGAACGTGAAGTTTCTAACTGCTACTAGGAATATATTGGAATACTGCTGTATGGCCGTTTTTGGTTGAAGTGCTTTAATCTCTCTCTGAAAGTAATAGGTTAGCATTTGAATTAATTTCATTATGTCTGAACCTATATTTCTTTACAAACAAATGCATCATTTCACAGTTCATTTTGAAATTCTATACTTAGTCGGCTGTCAATCAGAGCATTTCTGAAAATCTAATAATTGATTATAACACATTATAAACTGGAATTGTAATGATTGAATTATTATTTTTTAGATCGCTGGCACATATAATTGAACATATCACTACAATAAGGTCATTCTGGCTAGATACTTTTCACGTAGACAAAATATAAAAGAAACAGAGGGAATGAGAGATATCTGCCCATTATTGTACTTTTTTATATTTTAGTCCAAAGAATAAACAATAAAAACGATCCAAACTCTCGCCGGCGTTGAGGTGGTTAATTGATTACCTATAAATAAAATACATACACACATATAACTATAATTTATAGGGATATAGGTACAAAATTAAAAAAAAACAAATCGAAAACTTTTTTCTTTCGTTATTTTCAACAAAATCTCGCTCTTTGAGTGAATATCTCGGTCGTTTTTGACTAATGCATGTTGACTGATATGAGTTTATATTTAGTCAGTCATTATGGTACGTACATATTATTATAGTAACCCTGACTTTGAGTGTAACAGCTCATTGTTCATCCTTGGATTGGAAGATATGGAAGTCTGATGAATGAACAAAGTACATAAACTACTAACTACTATAACAGAGATGGCTATGACTTTATTGACCAGTAGTTCAAAACTACCTTCGTAGAAAAATCACACTCTCCTTATTGAAAAGGAGTTAATAAGCTAGTGGTGGAAAAAATATCTTCAGATAGTTCGAGAGTATAGCTAGGAATTATGTGTTTTGTAGTAATTGAAAACACCTATTCCAATTAGCATCATTTATATCCCGAGATATATCCAATTGGTCATTTCGGACCTCCTCTTGGAGTATCATATTATATGGAAGTATTTGCTCATCGGAAATCTGCCATCGTTGTATTAATGTTGATGTCAGTGTCATCAAAGTCACTAGGATATCAATAGCCCTAAAGTGGCTTATTACTTTTTTATTCGTTTTTTGTTCAATTTTCGTCATGAAATTTCTCGTTAATTTGAAGAAGCAAAAATCGAATAATTTTCGTTAAAATAAAGCATATCGCTATGTTCAATGTATGCATTTATTTCGCTAACACCCTGTGCTGATATTTTCGCTCTTCACTTCATTGTTTTTTTTTTGTTATTTTCAGAATTGTCTTCACCTGAAGAAGCTACTGTGTAAGCGAAATATGTCGTGAAATTAAGAACATTGTGTAAATATTATCGTTTGTGAAATTTTTACATTTACTATGGATTTCCATCAAGTAACGGCTAATTTAATTCGAAATATATTTTCTCAAATAGATATTCAAAGCTCAGTCATTTTCACAAATGTTTATAATGAACGAAACTGGTAGATAATGAGAGAAAAACAACTACTTTCCTGGCTATACACCACGCAGAACATTGAATTACATCCTCCCCAAATCTATGCAATGATTCGTATAGACGAATAAAATCGTAAGGGTTTCCTTCCTAAATGCTAAATTGTGCTTAAATTGTTCAGGAACGCTTGACTACCTACCTAACGGTTTCGAGCTTTTTGTCTCTCATCAGTGCAGAGTTGTTTCCACGAAGCATTCACGACCGCTATCTGGTGCGAACCTGACACAACGTGAACACATCCCAGCATTTGAAACCCAAGAGGCGTATGGCATCTGCCAGATGGATGAACGCCACCTGGGCGGAAGGAAAGAAACACTCTAATGAGATGGGAGTGGCTGGTTGCCCGACTGGCATGATTTCAATTAAAAAAAGCCAGAATGCTCAAAGTGGAATGAAATGTTAGATAAATAGTCAAGGCTCGAAGTCATTTCCATAAATGTTCATAATGAACGAAACTGGTAGATAATGAGAAAAAAACAACTACTTTCCTGGCTATATGCCACGCAGAATATTGAATCACATCCTCCCGAAAGCTATGCAGACGAATAAAATCGCAGGTGTTTCCTTCCTGAATGTTGAATTGTGCTTGAATTGTCCAGGAACGCTTGACTGCCAACAGACTTGTTTCGAGCTTTTTTGGCTCTCATCAGTGCAGGGTTGTCTCCAGATAGTATTCATGGCCGCTATCTGGTTGGTACCTTACTTAAAGTAAACACATCCCAGCATTTAAAACCCAAGAGGCGTACGGTATCTGCGAGATGAATGAACGCCACCTGAGAGGGAAGGAAAGAAATACTCCAAAAAACATTTCCATGAGATGGGAGTGGCTGGTTGCCGACTGGCATGATTTCAACTAAGAAAAAGACAAAATGCTCAAAGTTAATTTCATTCCATTCCGAATTCCACAAAACATCTCGAAACCAGTCTGTAGGTAGTGAAGAGTTCCTGAACAATTTAAGCACAATTCAGCATTTAGGAAGAAAACACTTGCGATTGTATTCGTCTATTCGAATCATTGCATAGATTTCGGGAGGATATAATTCAATTTTCTGCGTGGCATATATTCAGGAAAGTAGTTGTTTTTCTCTCGTTATCTACCAGTTTCATTTATCATAATCATTTGTGGAAGGGACTTCGTGCTTTGAGTATTTATTTGGGTATCTAGGTTTGTTTGGCGTAACACAAAAGGATCTTAATGCTCATTGTGTAAATATATCAATATTATGTCAATGAATGTATTTCTATGAAATTAATATTGGAATTCAAAGCTTCAACGAACACATGAAATGTCGTTTCGTCTTTTGGCAACTCAAATAAAAGTTAAGAATCATTCTTAAAATTTTTTCAATTCGGTACCGAACAAGATATTCTTGGAAACATTTTCGCGGGGACTCCTATTCAATTTTCAGAACTGACGTTTCAAATCTGAGAATGATGAACATTTGGAAATGTCAGTGGTGACTAGCGTGACCACTCTTTGAAAGGCGTGAAATGGGCTTATATCCCGAAAAAAATTTATTTCATAATTCGATAGAACTCACCCAAACTAGCTCACCACTGCAAACCGTTTCTTGCTGTGAGCTCCCTACGTTTTATAAAAAATTATTGAAATCCCCGATTTTTCGGACCTCTGAAAACGAGGCGATGATGTGACGTCAAAACCCTAATACTGAAACAAGACTATTCCAGACAGAGATGAATGATACATGATTTCTCACAAAGCACCAAGATTGGTGAATCGGCAAGTTGATTTTTGGCACATAGATGATAAGAACAAGAAGAAGATCAATTCTAACCTATATTAAGTTTCTGCAACTTTCGAATATTAAATTGAAATATTTCGACAAAAGTATGATTGAGAAATGTTCTGTGCCTAATTGCAATTAAAAAATCATCATTTAGCTGGGAATTTTGAGAACAAATCTCGCCCCTCACTGGGTAAACACAATATTATAGTAGTAGTTTTGCTTTGCAGAAATTCATAGGGAAATTGCTTGAAGAATGAATGATTCATCTCCTAGAAGAACATTCAGGGGGAGATGCAAGCAGTATCTAGTCTTGGGAATAACATTGTTTCATACCAATTGATCATATTGTTGCATAGGTAAACATATCGATCAGTGACTGATTTAATGAGGATTCTCCCTCGGAATCTCCATATGATGGGTATTCTGATGTTAAATATCCTTTCAGGTGAACAATTTTCCAATGCAACTATAATAGGTACAAGCAATGAAAATTGAATGAATATTGTGGAACTTACCTTTCAGATTTTCTATTCCTCATTTCAGCACTGAGGAACTGTGGAGATTTTCTAGTATGTTAGAGACATAAAAATAATTAACCATTTCCAAATCAATTTTCGGTAGATTATCTGATGAGCCTTTTACAAATCCTGATTCAACGTTTATGTTTATATTCAATATATCAATAATATTATTATGTATTAATATGATATAAAGCAAGATTTGGAGGTTAATTTCATTACGTGTCTTCTCTTCTCATTTTAGACGACATAAATAACTTCGGAATCGGAATTCGAGACTCGATGCAAATGCAGCTCCATGTGAAACGGGTCAACACAGCAATGTTGCTGCGTTCATGAAATATATTGGATTATTGTGAAATTGTCATGTTGCAAATGGTTTTGAGATTGAGACATTTCGTTGTTTAGAGATTGTTTATATTCTAATGATTCAACCTACCATCGACAAGTTGAATATATTTTTCTGCAGTAGTGGTAGTTGATATCAAAAGATATTTCAATATCGATTTCGATCTCTCGGATATTTTGTTTAGATGATATGGCAACAGTGTCACACATGGGTCACTCTATGGGTCACGCTCATTGGTTCCAGGCGAGATGAGGTTTCTACGTCATAAAGAGGGTCCGTTTTCAGAAGGTACTATTATTTATGTCCAAAAATAAAACATTCCAGTTAATTTTTAGATGGAATTATGTCGCCAATCGTTATTTATGTATAAAAGGATCATTATAAACATGGTTTGAGTTGAAAGTTCTACTAAGGTGTACACGCCCATTACATGTTCGAGGCACTCCAAGCCTGATAACCCAAAGGTCCCTGGTTCGAATCCCATTCAAAACCTACTTTTTCTACTTTTTTCGAAGTGCTTGATTGAAAAAATACTAAATACTGTCTGTAGGTTAATCGAGGAGGTGGTATATTCATTATTCCAATTTTTTTGGGATTTTCTCTCCTCGTTTCTATAAAATAAAAATATGAATATTATTTCAATATACGTGTAGTAAGGACAAATCAGATGATTTGTCCCAAAATGTCACTGCGTTTAAAGAATTTTCCTATCAGAGAGCCTAAAAGAAAAATTCACTAGCTTGTCAGTGACAATTTGTATTGAAAAATTTTTGGAGAAGAGAAATAAAGGTATATAGAAAAAATATCAAATTTTCACTTATCTTTGGACGTTTCGGGACCGATTCTGCTCCCGTTTTCAACATTAAGAGATTTTTTCTATTGCGAAGTCGTATAATATGTCTTGAAGCTTTTCAGTTTTCAATGACAATTGGTGACGTTGGCAATCAAAGGAGTTACAGGATGTTTTCATTAATTAATCTTGAATTTACCATTTTCATGTTCAGATTTTAGTAGTGAATACCATGTTCTGTCTATATCAACTGAACAAGAAGCAATGCTATTGTCTCCGTTCAGAAGAATGCAAGCAGATTCCTTGATTTTTCTCTTCTGGTTGTTATCTTCTTTTCCAATGATTTTAATATTATTCCACTCTGCCATATGTTGTCCGTCTTCAGTAAGGATATGTTCAGCTAGTTTCGATTTATCGATGTTTCTTTTCTTTATATTGTACTTATGTTCCTTCGTCCTTACTGAAAGAGGTTTCTTGGTTTCACCTGTATAAAACTTTCCACAAACACAAGGTATACTGTAAATACAATTTTTTGACGATTGTTCCTCATTTTTCGGCTTTGTTTGAGTTAGAATTGATCTCATTGTATTTTCAGTTTTGAACACAGTTTTCACTTGAAATTTATCACCAACACGTTTTATTTTTTCAGATATGCCGGGAATGTATGGTATTATATTTGTCGTTATTGATGGTTGATTTTGTTGTGGTTGACCCTGTTTATTTTCAATTTGATGAATCGTCCTATCGACAAAATTCTTTGGATAGGAATTCAGTTGGAGAACATTTTTAATGTGGTGGACTTCGTTATTGAAAATTTGTTGGTCAGATGATATTGATTTGGCTCTATCATGGAGTGATTTGATTATTCCTTTCTTAATACTGTTCTGATGATTTGATTGAAAGTTCAAGTATCTGTTAGTATGGGTCTTTTTACGATATACACTCGTTACAAAGATGTTATTTGATTTTTCAATAAGAACATCTAGAAACGGTAATTGATTATTAGATCCAATTTCCAGAGTGAACTTTATTGTAGGTTCGGCATTGTTCACATAATCCAGAAAATTATCTAGCTCCATAACGTTATGAGGCCAAATTATGAAAATATCATCTACGTATCGCCAGCATGTTTTAGGTTGTTTTTGGTAATTTTTGATTATGTTGTCTTCAAAATTCTCCATAAATATATTGCTTAAAATTGGAGATAATGGCGATCCCATGGCCATTCCAAAGTTTTGTTGATAAAACTCATCACCCAATTGAAAATATGTTGTTTTTAGACACAATTCCAAAAATTCCATTATTCCTTCGATACTAAGATTAGTTCTTTCAGTGAGACTTTCATCGTCTTCTAATTTATGTTTCACTATTTGTAAAGTTTTATCTATTGGAACATTTGTGAATAAACTCACTACATCAAAACTAACAAGAGTATCATTTGTATCAAGAGTGATGTCATTAAGTTTTTCTAAGAAATGAGGAGTATTTCTGATGTAACTCTCACTTTTTCCTGAAATAGGATTAATGATATTCAAAAGAAATCTTGCTAAATTTTGACATGGAGATCCAATTGAACTCACGATTGGTCTCAATGGAACATTTGGTTTGTGTATTTTTTGAAGTCCGTAAAAATGAGGAGGTTTGCTGTGATATGTGGAGATATTCTTTCTTTCCGCGAGTGTCAATTGATTTTCGTGTTTCTTAATAGATAAAACTTTACAAATAGTGAAACATAAATTAGAAGACGATGAAAGTCTCACTGAAAGAACTAATCTTAGTATCGAAGGAATAATGGAATTTTTGGAATTGTGTCTAAAAACAACATATTTTCAATTGGGTGATGAGTTTTATCAACAAAACTTTGGAATGGCCATGGGATCGCCATTATCTCCAATTTTAAGCAATATATTTATGGAGAATTTTGAAGACAACATAATCAAAAATTACCAAAAACAACCTAAAACATGCTGGCGATACGTAGATGATATTTTCATAATTTGGCCTCATAACGTTATGGAGCTAGATAATTTTCTGGATTATGTGAACAATGCCGAACCTACAATAAAGTTCACTCTGGAAATTGGATCTAATAATCAATTACCGTTTCTAGATGTTCTTATTGAAAAATCAAATAACATCTTTGTAACGAGTGTATATCGTAAAAAGACCCATACTAACAGATACTTGAACTTTCAATCAAATCATCAGAACAGTATTAAGAAAGGAATAATCAAATCACTCCATGATAGAGCCAAATCAATATCATCTGACCAACAAATTTTCAATAACGAAGTCCACCACATTAAAAATGTTCTCCAACTGAATTCCTATCCAAAGAATTTTGTCGATAGGACGATTCATCAAATTGAAAATAAACAGGGTCAACCACAACAAAATCAACCATCAATAACGACAAATATAATACCATACATTCCCGGCATATCTGAAAAAATAAAACGTGTTGGTGATAAATTTCAAGTGAAAACTGTGTTCAAAAATGAAAATACAATGAGATCAATTCTAACTCAAACAAAGCCGAAAAATGAGGAACAATCGTCAAAAAATTGTATTTACAGTATACCTTGTGTTTGTGGAAATTTTTATACAGGTGAAACCAAGAGACCTCTTTCAGTAAGGACGAAGGAACATAAGTACAATATAAAGAAAAGAAACATCGATAAATCGAAACTAGCTGAACATATCCTTACTGAAGACGGACAACATATGGCAGAGTGGAATAATATTAAAATCATTGGAAAAGAAGATAACAACCAGAAGAGAAAAATCAAGGAATCTGCTTGCATTCTTCTGAACGGAGACAATAGCATTGCTTCTTGTTCAGTTGATATAGACAGAACATGGTATTCACTACTAAAATCTGAACATGAAAATGGTAAATTCAAGATTAATTAATGAAAACATCCTGTAACTCCTTTGATTGCCAACGTCACCAATTGTCATTGAAAACTGAAAAGCTTCAAGACATATTATACGACTTCGCAATAGAAAAAATCTCTTCATGTTGAAAACGGGAGCAGAATGGGTCCCGAAACGTCCAAAGATAAGTGAAAATTTGATATTTTTTCTATATACCTTTATTTCTCTTCTCCAAAAATTTTTCAATACAAATTGTCACTGACAAGCTAGTGAATTTTTCTTTTAGGCTCTCTGATAGGAAAATTCTTCAAACGCAGTGACATTTTGGGGCAAATCATCTGATTTGTCCTTACTACACGTATATTGAAATAATATTCATATTTTTATTTTATAGAAACGAGGAGAGAAAATCCCAAAAAATTTGGAATAATGAAAAAATACTGTGAAGGCATTTACTGTTGGGCGATAGTGATCCACTATTTCAGTGATGTTTTTTTTTTTAGGATCGGCCGTGAGAAAAGCGAGTCTTGGCCGGAAATTTTCTGTATTGCTTCCGCATGGATTAATTGTTGCGCCCTGTCTATTTATAAAGCCACTCTACTCGTTACTGTCTCAAAATCTGGGAGGATTTTTCTGCTGTTTCAATCGCACGAATTCAATTCTACCCGAATAGAAGCATCTAGAGACAGGACGCAAAATAGACAGGGCGCCACCATCGGTAGTTATTGATCTTAATATTATTCATGTATTACAGCTTGCTCCAGTTTTGTTCATAAGTTTTCGAATATTATTTACTATAACATCATACTGACCAGTTGTCGGTAGAACTCGAGTTCAGCGAAGAATTATTATAGTGATTATTGCATTTTTAAATTACTTATCGTGATTTAGTGCGGCTATGGATGAATTGAGGTTCATTCAACTAACTTATTATACATAGTTATTCTGATTATACCTATAGGGTGTCCCATAAGTCACGTATTGAAAGAAATGGGGTGGGGTGGAAATGACTTTCCACTTTGAGCATTGTGGCTATTTCGTAGTTGATATACTACAACTTGTTTTTTTTATCATTTCAGGAGGCAGTCATGAATTTTCGGAAAAACGATTCTAGGACAATCCTTCCTCCAATACCAGATGTTGGATCCTATCAACCTCCAATGCATAAACTTAAAAGCATTTCATGGGTTCTAGAAGACGAAACTGTTGGTTCCGTGCAACAACTAACTCGTTTGTAGTTATTTGAAGAAGTAGTATTTTTCGCTGTTTTCACATTGTCAAGCATTGCATTGGTATGGCCATCCACAAGGCCTGGCAAATTCATCATTCATTCCCCATGAAGAACTTTCGTTGTGGCTCAGTAGTTAATTTTACCTTTTTGAAGGCCACCTTTTTTTGAGTGAAACGAACCAAATTTTTTTTCAGTATGAATGTGCTTTTTTATAAACAAAACAACTCAAAATTACAAAGAAAAATATAAAAATGTGAGAAATAAGTTTCAGTACTCAATTAATCAATTACCTTATTCCTGTTGCTCATCCGTTGGGTAGCATTTTTGTGATGGTAGAACAGTTGTAGCGTACTTGTTTCTTCGGGGTTGATCAAATTTCCATTTTTGTCCCTCACCACTAGATCTAAACCTAATATTTTATTGCCTACATCGATTTCTTCTACTGCTTGCTTTATGACGCGTTTGAGCTCATCACCGGGTAACGTTCCACTTAGTATTTTGCTTCGATGTGACACCAGGTCGTATATGTGGTTTTTCATCTGTTCGAAATTTTTACTATTATCCTGAAATAATGAAATATTCAGTTGTTAAATACCCAGAGAAATCAGTAATAACGGTTATTAGGTAACCATTCATTATACAGAACAGGCTTTGGACCACTGAACCGCTAAGCGCATGTATTTGATAGATATAATCTAGAAGGCATAATATAAATAATGTATTCAACATATTACGGAAAGGAAGTGATAATAATAATCTAATATATAAAATTCTCTTGTCCCGATCACGGTGTTAGTGGTCGAACTCCTCCGAAACGGCTCGACCGATTCGTATGAAATTTTTTGTGCGTATTCGGTAGATATGAGAATCGGTCGTAATCTATTTTTTAAATCGAAAATTCAAGATGGCGGATCCAATATGGCGGACGAGTATTGTTATCCGATTTCATTCAAAATTGGTATTTGGGGGGTTTTAGGGGTCTGAGATTATAATTTCTTTCGTCAAATTTTGGAAATTCAAAATGGCGGATCCAATATGGCGGACGAGTTTTGTAATTATAGTCAGATTTCATTCAAAATTGGTATCTGGGGGTTTTCGAGGTCAGAGATTTTTTTTTTATCAAAATTAGGAAATTGAAAATGGCGGACCCAATATGGTGGACGAGTTTTGTAATTAAGATCCAACTATTTTCAAAATTGGTATCTGATGGTTTTCGGGGTCGGAGATTATGGTCCATTCGTCAAAATTTGGAAATTCAAAATGGCGGATCCAATATGGCGGACGAGTTTTGTAATTATGATCAGATTCTATTAAAAATTGGTATCTGGAGGTTTTAGAGGTCGAAGATATGAATTATTAGTCAGAATGGGGAAATTCAAAATGGCGGATCTAATATGGCGAACGAGTTTTTTAATTATGATCAGATTCTATGCAAACTTGGTATCGGGGGGTTTCCGGAGTCGGAGATAATGATTCTTTCATGAAAATTTGGAAATCCAAGATGGCAGATTCTATATGGCGGACGAGTTTTGTAACTATGATCCGATTCCATTCCAAATTTGTATCTGGGGGATTTTGGGATCGAAGATTATGATTCTTCAACAAAATTAGGAAATTAAAGATGGAGGATCCAATATGGCAACTGAGTTTTGTAATTATGATCCGATTCTATACAAAATTTTTATCTGGGTGTTTTCGGGGTCGGAGAAGAATTAGAAAACAAAATAATAAAAGTATGTTGATTTATTCAACTAAAAAATTATTTTCTATAAATAATTGTAAATAGCAAAACAACGTATGCCGGGTATCAGCTATTGTAATAAAAATTAGTTTGAAGAACTAATGAAACACCTTTTTATAGATAGCCAAACTAAAAAGAAGTGAGTAGAAAATAAAGAGTAGTTTGAAAAAATGAAGAGGTATAGAGTACCGAACTGAAAAGAAGTAGAAAATAAATAGAGTAGTTTGAAAAACTGAAGAATCCCGTTTTTATTGATAGACAAACTAAAAAGAAGTAGAAATAAAATAATGGCAGTTTTCTGATAAATATTTATCTAAAAATTGTTTTCTAGAAATAATGTTTATGGCAAAACAACGTTTGCCGGGTCAGCTAGTGATGAAATAATATTGTCAAGAAAGTCCAGTTTACCGAATATCGGGATTTGCTCTCCCACTCAAACATCAGGAGAAGCTTATTATGATGATGAAACATTCATTTACAAATGTAATATACAGAGACCAAATAGAGTAATCTCCTGAATATTTATGGGTGCAAGCAAAAAAAACTAGCCAAATTTAACTCACCAACCAACTTTTTAAATAATAATAAAACGACGAGTTCTTCAATATTCACCAACCCACCATCTTGAATTTATAAATATTGACGGAAGAATCAAAATTATCGACCCCGAAAACCTCTAGATACCAATTTTAAATAGAATCGAATCATAATTAGAAAACTCGTTGGCCATATTGGATCCGCCATGTCGAATTTCCCAATTTTGACGAAAGAATCATAATCTCAGACCCCGATTCTTTCTACTATGGAATGATTTTTCAAAAATATGTCGTTTCAATTGGGTTTTCTCGCGCACAATCCTTGACTACTGAAATCAAGGAAGATCTGGACGCATCCTTTGCTTTTCAGTTATCCGTGCCTCCTTCCGAAAACAAAATAATTTTCATTTAATTCTCCTCCCAACCGGGATTTCGAGGGTGTTTCGGATTTGGGTCACCAATGAGAAAACTCTTGATCTTCAATGTTCATCGTGAGTCAATACTGATCTTCATATCTCTTCATCTATTTCAGCTTCAAAATGATCCAAATCGCTGCGGCTAGAGACACTTTGATGTCACTCCCCAGCGGATGATGTATTAGGTTCGAGATGTTATTTCAGTCCATGATAGACAAGAGGGATTTTTATCTCTTTTGAAGTATGCACATAGAAATATCGAGCATGAGGAAGGAACATATCCTTTCTGTAAAACCATAAAAACGGAGACTTCTTTCCTAAACATTCTAACCTGAGTCGGCCTAAATGAACTTTCTTCCTAGAAAGTATGTTTTTCGGAAAATAACTTTGTTTTTTTTGGGCACAAAATAACAACTACATCTGTACCTGCGAATTTCCAAGTATCATAGTTCTCGCGTTTTCTATTTGCGGAATTTTTCGCACACTGGTACAGGAAATACTTAATCGGCTTTAGCAGAATATTCTGGGCCCATAACCTGTAGTAATTCTAGTAATTCTATATTACTTTCAGTGAGAGATGAAATTAGAATGACTAAAACTGATATGGACTTGACAATCTATATAATTTAACTAACTTAACCAAATACAATGAATAATCCAACAATTTACTCCCCTCAATAACATTAATGGACTGTTCCTTTGTGGCATTTTGGCCAGCCGGCTTGTACAGAAGTACATAGCCACCTTGATATTCGGTTCGTAAATAACTCCAAGAATAATTTCCGATTTATTATAGTGAGTTATTATAACTCACGTTGTTCGTTTACAGATACTATTAATCGCTCAAAAGCAGCTCAATAATTAATATAGTGCTTTCGTAAAGTACTAAATATAGTTATTTGTTTTACTAGGCAGCAGAGTATTAGATTGATTGCTGAGGCTGATAGTTCATAGCCGATCGTAACGAGGCTAGAAATTCAGCTAAGGCAGTCAATCTACTTTGTGAAACACATACCTAATTTTTTCTCCGAATGTTATAAAACTACGAAGACGCAGAACAGACATGCTACTCATGCTACATACGAACTCGAAGTTAGTACAGGGTGTCTATAGATTTCCTATACAAGCGATAGCTCCGTCAAATTTCATCTTCTGTAAGAATCATATAAAATGAGTTTCGAATAATATTATTAGACACCATCTGAATAGAAACAAATTTGTTTGGTGATCATCCACTATTCATGTGCAGAAAATAAATAATTTTGGAAAATCAAAACTTTCCGTGACACCATCCGGAAATACATATACGGACTACTCAACTCCACAGACAGTTGTAACAAAGCACATATGGATTTCAGAAATCTCAATTACAAAATCAAAATCCATTATTCAGGACAAACTCACTTCATCCATAACGGGATCAAGGATAAAAAAATACCAGAAGACAGATTCAAATTGTGACTTCAGGAAAAAACATCATCATCATTCTAAGTAAGGATTATAGAAAATGGCGTGTCCATATCAGAAATCCTTCATCAATAATTTGGGCGAATACCCCAATACACATCGCATATAGGTAGTATATGTTCTAGACATTTCTGGATGGTGTCACGAAAAAGTTTGATTTTCCAAAATTATTTATTTTTTACCAATAAATAGTGGATGAATCACCGAACACAATTTTCTTTCAGATGATGTCCAGAATCTAGGACCGAATCTCCTATGCAAAAATCACCAAGGAAAAGGTCACTAACCTGCCTCCTGAAAACTTATCCTGAAGAAACATTTTCAAAGAGATAATTTTGTGTGGGGGATTTCCAATAAATTTGTTCGGAACTCATTTTGCATGTATTACCCTTTCAGAAGATGAAACCAGTACGTCCATGGTGTTGCTTAAATATGCTTTATTATCATTCCTCTCTAATATTTGAGCATGTCCGTTCTAGGCCTTCGTATAAAACCAATTTTGTGTAGTTTTTTTATTGAAAACTCCATCATTTTGTGTTCACCCATTGTCAGTGTGAATTTTTGATTACCAATATCATTCAAATCACTTGGAACATTGCATAGCAACAAACTTTTTCTGCCTAGGCAGAGAAAGTACACCTTTGCTGCCTGTTAAGTGTCATAGAAAAGCAACTTTCTATGCCGTTTGAAGAAAAAATTCATTATTAGCCAAACTATCCGTTTCTGAGGAATCTCCTGAAACAGGTTGATTTTCATTTTGAATCTGCCACATTGATAGGAAAAAATTAAATATACAGGGTGATCTACGTTTGAGTAAAGACGACCGAGACATTTTTTTTTAATGGAACATTATATATATTATTATATTTTTGGAATCTCCATGGATAGGTGAATTCAAAGGTAGTACAGGAAATCATTACCCAGACACCAAGATTATATCCTGATGCTTCAGCCGATGGGTATAAGGTCGTGCGGTAATTCTTTACTAGCAGGGTGTATATTAAATTTTGTTCACCAACTACCAATATATTTCGAACAATATACATCTGTGAAAATGAAATATTGACTTATTGTCCCTATGAAATCAATTATTTTCAATCCTAATTAGGATTTAGTTGACATATCCATGACAACATAATATGACAAGTCGTTATTGATAAATACCTACTAGATTCGAGTGCCATTACTAAAAACCTCGCATCAGAACAGTGAATTTTGTTCAATTATAACAGAGGTGGCTATATCATTATTGATTAGTATAGTAGTTCATAAAATGACGAATACTACCTTGGTAGAGAAAAACACACTTTACGCCTTGAAAAGGAGTAAATAATGGTAGTTTCTATAGCTAGTGGTGGAAAAACTAAATTAACCAACTATGCATTTTGAAAGTTTATTCTCTGAATATATTTATACTAGGCGCCCTTCTAGGAATGTTCTAGCATGATCTTGAATGTTCTAGGAATGTCAGGAATGATCTAGCAATGTCAGAAATGTTCTATTGATTTCTTGAACGTTCTCGAACTCTCTAGATTATTCGAAAATGTTCTCAAATGTTCTGTTACCGAAATAAGAACATACTACCACTACCTATTGATATTTCATTCAAAAGAAGAATCCTTCATTTTTTGCAGATAATGGAATAATAATGTTCATGTTCATGTTTTTGTAATCTTCTGGAGCGCACTTATGGAAATCCTAATAATATTCGAGGAACATCGTGCATACCCAGGGAGGATGGAAAAAGAAGGTAGGCCTTGAATCTTTTTTCAACTTTATAGTTATGAGTTCTTGGGAATCCTTCATTTGGCAGATATATTATTATAGTGACGTTGTTTGCTTGCCATATGAAATAAACGAACGAAGAAAGAAAGCTGGATAAGAAAAGAGCCGTGCCCTAGTACTACCTACATATAAAGAAACACTGAAGATTTTCGAAAATAAATTAATCAAGAGTAATTACTATAGAGATTTTTTTCAAACAGATGAGTAATCAGAACTTTCAATGATAATATATTCATTATTCCACAACAGAGAGTACTATCCAAAGACTACCTGCTTCATTCCAATATTCAGCCATTTTACACCAATCTGATTTTATTTCATTCATTTCAATGCTTACCACATACAAGTTCTTCCAATGCAACCCCCATTCTCGAAGAACTGATGTTATTTCCGTTGCGATTGAAGGCTCATTTGATACTAGACCTACAGCATCAACTTTATTACATTTTTTTACGTGCACGTAGCTTTTGGGAAATATTCCTTTCACGTCAATCTCACTGACAACGTAGCCAAAATACCAATCTGCTTCTTCTTCCAATATATGTACAGAATCCCCAACGGTTAATTTGAGTTTATAATCCTCCTGATTGAGGAAATTGTAGATGGCTAAAACAAAAATCCACTCAAGAAATTGCATTAGTTTCAATATGTTATAAATGATATAAATCACCACACACACTAGTTTTATCAAATATAATTCCATTTCTCATTGAAAAACTGTGCAACATCGCTTGGTAGCTTCAGCTTGACAGGTATTCCCTGACTATGTATATATTTTGAAAGAAATCAAATTTTACCTAAGTGATACCTACAATGATGAATTTTTTATTCAAAAAAGAGGAGACTGTGTAAAAAACGATGTAATGAATAAGGGAAATAAGGTTTTCATCCTCAGAGTAGCTAAACTACTCAACACACAGGATGTAAAATCGGTAAAATCTAAAATTTTTCGATCGATTTTGATTCTTCATCATGTTCAACTGCCTCAACCGATTTTCAGTTCTTTTTCAGTTTCTGAATTTTTGTACCATTGACTATGGAACCCGAGATTGAACCTATGGAAGTGATTATGGCATATCTTCAGAATGAGATTCTACAGGATGATAATCAAAGCTGAGAAATTTTTCAAAAATTTCAAAGGCCTCCCTTATGGAAGCAATTTGTTTTTCTGAGGTGAAAAATAGATTGCATCATCTGCTTTCTCAAAGCAGTTTTGGAATTTTCGGAATTGCCACACTCGTCACTGGAATATGAATATTTTTTTAGGTAATATCCCAAACTATGACAAATAGTCGACTATTATTTTCACTTGTAACCACTAGAGGTTAAATTATTTCCGCAAAGAACTGATTCGATTCGCTGTTGGGTACCCAAGAGAAAAACATTTCCACTAAAATGCAATTTTATAGGTCAAAAATAACGTGTAGAGTTTTCCTCATAGTTCTATCGAGAGAACCTTGCGATTATTTCATGAACATCATAAAACGTACTCGTTTTTATATAAAGTTTCAACATTTCTGATATTGATTTGCATATATTATAATCACTGATTTTCGTACTGTAAGTTGGTCCAAAACGAGACATTTTCAATTTCCAGTAACAGATTATATCAGACATATTACACTTACACTTTATTTTAATCTCTTGGAGTGCATGAAGGGGAATCCCTATAATAAACTAAGAACATCGTACATACCTAGGGAGGGTAAGGAGAGGATGTGAGTATTTTTTTGAGTTCTTGGGAAAAATTCCTTAGGCATAGAAACACAAAGCTTTGCTGTTCTATGGACACACGAGTTCTAGAAAAATTATGTTCGAGATATTTTGAGGTTGACAACAAAAGGATGTGCTATCCTGGTTTGTCGAGTGGAAAATAACGATTATAGGATCAAATAAAATAGTCGCTGAAGCTTCTTTGATTGCCTAAATAGTTAGTTACATATCATTTGACTTCAATCAGGAAAGTTCATAGGTGTAGCAATGTGTGAATTGATGAATCACTGAAATTTTGAGGGAACATAATCACAGAGAAAACAAACCTAGAATGAAGATGTTCATCAAAAATGGAATCAAGTCCTGATACTTGTTAATCATTGTTAATCTACTGCAACTGTTATGAATTTTGTCAGTTGCTCATCGTTTCTCAGCAGCAAATTTTTCATGTATGCGTCCTTCTAGATTGTTTGAGGAATCGTTACACATAGGATGATTGATGAGATATATTGGGCTTTTGAATGGCACCATGATTCGACTATCATATGTCTTCGCTAGTCTCCGATGGAATAGGTATATGAACAGAATTAAAACTGAAATTCTCCTTGTGTAGTATGATATATATAAAGAACTTCAATAGATTTAGACATTTGAGTTATACCATAATAGTTGTAAGATACTGTATATTAATTAATTATATAGGTCAGTGGTATTACCTGGGTTCATACAGTTCGTTCGCACTATTGTGTATAATTATTATAAGATATTATGTACTGACTAAGCTAAACAGTTATTGTGACAATCGGTATCATTCACTAAAATAGATAGAGATTGATTTTGAACTTGATGATGAATGGTGGTATTATTACAACTCCCAGCTCTCCATATTACTAAGTTATCACATGGCGACCCTGCCTCAAGAACTAGCAATGGAATTCTAACATACAGAGATGCGATGGGTAAAACACAGAGCAAAGAAGAAATTGTAATTGCACAAGCGGGCAATAGTGGTGGACAAACAAACGAAGCCAAACAACACGCAAGTTTCGGTTTTACCCAGGATATTCTAATCATAATTGTCCTGATATTGTTGGTACTTGCCCTGGGATGGTTGATTTTTGTTCAATGCAAAAAGGCAATGGAAAGGGAGGTTAGGAAATAAGTCTCCAGAAGCAGAGAGCAGGTGTAATTTTCTTTTTAGGAGTATAATGGTCACACTATTCGATATAATGGAATGATGATTATCAATGGATATAGATTGATATATTACATGAATTGAAAAAGATGGTGAGGAATTGTATGGGATGTTCTTAATACTTCCATATGTAACAATTCGATAAACAATATGTATATATTCATTGTTATTTTCCTTGAAATTCTCTTTCAAACAAGTATCACACAGTGAGAACAAAGTTTCGGAAATCCGATTTAATCTCACAACAGTGTAGCAACTTTGCATAGTGAGGAAACCTTCACCTAGAGCTTTTATCGCCAGAGAACATCTCAATCAATTGTCTCAAATGAAAATACTTCGAATTTTTCTTGCTCCTCAGAACAGGAGTTTTCAATGCATTTTTTTTATTTCGGGACATAATTGTTTTTTTTGCAGACCACTCCATATCAATGAATAGGTAATTTAATCATGCACCATTTCAAGATTGTTGACCACCATTTGACCCAGAATAACAAGTTTGAACCAGAATGACAAGAACACACAGCCAATAGAAATAAAAGCATTAAATTATGCATCTCTTATAAAAATATTCCTTTTTCAGAAGGTAATGTGACAATTCAAAAAATACCAAAACCGTTCCAAGAAAACAGATGGTGGGATATGCTTTTCACCTCAGAAAAAAATTGAAAAATGTTCCTCCAAACAGAACACCATTGAAATTTTAGAGAAATTACATAGGTTTGATAATCAACCTGTAGAATCAAGATAGTCACAAGTGACTGATATGCGAGAAAGATTAATACAGGAGGAAATTTACACACATTCCTACAGATACAGGGTGATTCATCAAGAATCGGAAATCTCTGAACTACAGATAATAAACACAAAAATAATGAGATTTAGCCCAATATGCCTGATGAGAATGTTGCTGGTTTTGGAGATACAGGGTGTTCTAGGGGGAGATTTTATTTCAATATTTCACAATAACTTTGTTAGTTTTGACAGAAGATATTTTGAAATAAAATCTTCTCCTTAACCACCCTGTATCTCTTAAACCAGCAATATTTGTATAAGGCATGTTGGGCTAAATCTTCATATTTGGGTGTTTACCTCGGTGTTTACTATCTGTAGTTCAGAGATTTCCCATTCTTAATTTAATAAATAAATGTATTAAAATGTCATAAGTGGAAAATCTCTCAAAGCTTTCAGATTTCCCACTTATTTTGATCATCAATGAATTGACATAGAAGATATGATGTAAATTATCACAGCAAGGTTGGTAGAACTGATGATTTTACCAACCTTGAAACAGAGTGCCACTAGCCCCTTTATGAGCAATCACAAAATAAGTTGCTAGTTCATATTCCTCATGTCAGAAAACCTAAAAATATAAGATTTCATGTTCATGCTGTTGTGAGATTTTGAAATAAAATCTCCTCCTAGAACACCCTGTATCTCCTAAACCAGCAACATTCTCATTAGGCATATTGAGCTAAATCTCATTATTTTTGTGTTTACTGTCTGTAGTTCAGCGATTTACCATTTTTGATGAATCACTCTGTATATATTGAAAAAATACTAATATTTTTATTAGAAGAAACAGAAGATCCCAAAATATCTAGAGAAATAAAACTGTTTGCTGTTACCTGAGTTGTTACTGTAAGTTTAGCATACAAAATCCACGGGGTGTATTATTTGCTGACCAAAATTAAAGTATTCTGACAGAGCATTTCTGATTAAAATTTTCTCTTCAAATTGCATATTTGAATATCTTATATACCACCAGTGGAATTATTTCGATCCAAGCTTTCGAAATAATTCCACTGGTGGCATCTATAAATCTATATGAGATATCCAAATAAGTAATTTGATGGGAAAATACGAACCAGAAATGCTCGGTCAGCAAGGATTTTTGAAAAACTGCGAGAATAAACATCAGTGTGCAACCAGCCACGAGTTCCAGCCACGACTTCGCCTAATATTCAAGGCGGGGGGGGGGGGAGGGGTAATTCTTGCCCGAAAAAATATTGTGAGATATACACATTATTAAGTAGTATCAGAGATACACATTGATAGGAAAAAACTCCCATCCACGTGTATTTTGAAAAAGTTATATTTTTTTAGAAATTCCGAAAAAGGGGGCCTGTGGGGTCAATTCTTGCCCGACAAAATATTGTGAGATATACATATTATTAAGTACTATCAGAGGAACACATTCATAGAAAAAACTCCCATCCACGTGTATTTTGAAACGTTATGATTTTTTTTCGAAATGTGAGATATACACATTATTGAGTACTATCAGAGGAACACATTCATAGAAAAAAAACTCCCATCCACGTGTATTTTGAAAAAGTTATGATTCTTTTTCCGAAATTCCTAAAAAGGGGGCCTGTGGGGTTGATTCTTGCCCGACAAAATATTGTGAGATATACACATTAATAAGTACTATCAGAGGAACACATACAAAAAAAAACTCCCATCCACGTGTATTTTTGAAAAGTTATGATTTTTTTTCGAAATTCCGAAAAAATGGGCCTGTGGGGTTTATTCTTGCCCGACAAAATATTGTGAGATATACATATTATTATGTACTATCATAGGAACGCATCCATAGAAAAAATTTTCCCATTCACGTGTATTTTGAAAAAGTTATGATTTATTTTCGAAATTCCGAAAAAGGGGGCCTGTGGGGTTAATTCTTGCCCGACAAAATATTGTGAGATAAACATATTATTATGTACTATCAGAGGAACACATTCATAGAAAAAAAATTCCCATTCACGTCTATTTTGAAAAAGTTATGATTCTTTTTCCAAAATTCCTAGAAAGGGGGCCTGTGGGGTTGATTCTTGCCCGACAAAATATTGTGAGATATACACATTAATAAGTACTATCAGAGGAACACGTACAAAAAAAAACTCCCATCCACGTGTATTTTGAAAAAGTTATGATTTATTTTCGAAATTCCGAAAAAGGGGGCCTGTGGGGTTAATTCTTGCCCGACAAAATATTGTGAGATATACACATTATTGAGTACTATCAGAGGAACACATTCATAGAAAAAACTCCCATCCACGTGTATTTTGAAAAAGTTATGATTCTCTTTCCGAAATTCCTAAAAAGGGGGCCTGTGGGGTTGATTCTTGCCCGACAAAATATTGTGAGATATACACATTAATAAGTACTATCAGAGTAACACATACAAAAAAAACTCCCATCCACGTGTATTTTTGAAAAGTTATGATTTTTTTTTCGAAATTCCGAAAAAATGGGCCTGTGGGGTTTATTCTTGCCCGACAAAATATTGTGAGATATACATATTATTATGTACTATCAGAGGAACACATTCATAGAAAAAAATTCCCATCCACGTGTATTTTGAAAAAGTTATGATTTATTTTCGAAATTCCGAAAAAGGGGGCCTGTGGGGTTAATTCTTGCCCGACAAAATATTGTGAGATATACATATTATTCTGTACGGGTGATTGACTATGGATTTCTCGACTTCAACAGCTGATATCTCAAAAACGAAACAAGATATTTGAAATTTGGAGAAAGGTACTTGAATGAGATGTAATTTTCTTCTAGAAAATGTGTTCTCTGCTTGATTTTATCATTTCATATACAGGGTTCGTGAAAAAATATTTTTTTTCAAATGGACCCCCCTGTATATTATCGCATATTTCGAAAGAGCTATCTTTCCTGATTTCGAAGATATATACTTTTCATATATTCTATCGAGGGCTTGACGAAATATCAGCAAAATTAAATATTAATATTTGGTCCAAGTTAGCTATGGTTGAAATAGAATGAGATGATGAATAAGTGAATTGACATTTGGTCAACATTTCAGTGACATAAGTGCGCAAAATTTCGACAATTTTTCCACGATGCCATATCCACTGGAACAAAGAAGAGATATTTTGGAGTGCTATTTATCAGTTAATAAAAATCTCTTTCGAAATATGCGATAATATACAGGGGGTTCCATTTGAAAAAAAATTTTTTTTCCACATACCCCGTATATGAAATGATAAAATCAAGCAGAGAACACATTTTCCAGAAGGAAATGACATCTCATTCAAGTAACTTTTTCCAAATTTCAAATATCTTTTTTCGTTTTCGAGATATCAGCTGTTGAAGTCGAGAAATCCATAGTCAATCACCCTGTACTATCAGAGGAACACATTCATAAAAAAAATCCCATCCACGTGTATTTTGAAAAAGTTATGATTCTTTTTCCGAAATTCCTAAAAACGGGGCCTGTGGGGTCGATTCTTGCCCGACAAAATATTGTGAGATATACACATTAATAAGTACTAGCAGAGGAACACATAAAAAAAACTCCCATCCACGTGTATTTTTGAAGTTATGATTTTTTTTCGAAATTCCGAAAAAATGGGCCTGTGGGGTTTATTCTTGCCCGACAAAATATTGTGAGATATACATATTATTATGTACTATCAGAGGAACACATTCCTAGAAAAAAATTCCCATCCACGTGTATTTTGAAAAAGTTATGATTTATTTTCGAAATTCCGAAAAAGGGGGCCTGTGGAGTTAATTCTTGCCCGACAAAATATTGTGAGATATAGATATTATTATGTACTATCAGAGGAACACATTCATAGAAAAAAAAATCCCATTCACGTGTATTTTGAAAAAGTCGATTTATTTTCGAAATTCCGAAAAAGGGGGCCTGTGGGATTAATTCTTGCCCGAAAAAATATTGTGAGATATACACATCATTGAGTACTATCAGAGGAACACATTCATAGAAAAAAAACCCCATCCACGTGTATTTTGAAAAAGTTATGATTCTTTTTCCAAAATTCCTAAAAAGGGGGCCTGTGGGGTTGATTCTTGCCCGACAAAATATTGTGAGATATACACATTAATAAGTAATATCAGAGGAACACATACAAAAAAAACTCCCATCCACGTGTATTTTTGAAAAGTTATGATTTTTTTTCGAAATTCCGAAAAAATGGGCCTGTGGGGTTTATTCGTGCCCGACAAAATATTGTGAGATATACATATTATTATGTACTATCAGAGGAACACATTCATAGAAAAAAATTCCCATCCACGTGTATTTTGAAAAAGTTATAATTTATTTTCGAAATTCCGAAAATGGGGGCCTGTGGGGTTAATTCTTGCCCGACAAAATATTGTGAGATATACACATTATCGAGTACTATCAGAGGAGCACATTCATAGAAAAAAACTCCCATCCACGTGTATTTTGAAAAAGTTATGATTCTTTTTCAAAATTCTGAAAAAGGGGGCCTGTGGGATTAATTCTTGCCCGACAAGATATTGTGAGATATACATAATATTAAGTTCTATCAGAGGAACACTTTCATAGAAAAAAACTCCCATCCACGTGTATTTTGAAAAAGTTATGATTTTTTTTGAAATTCCAAAAAAGGGGGCCTGTGGGGTTAATTCTTGCCGGACAGAATATTGTGAGATATACACATTATTGACTATTGAGTACTATCAGAGAAACACATTCATAGAGAAAAACTCCCATCCACATGTATTTTGAAAAAGTTATGATTTTTTCTTGGAAATTCTGAAAGAGAGGGCTGTGAAGTTAATTCTTGTCTGACAAATTATTGTGAGATATACAGATTATTATATATATATATTCATGTTTTTTTTTACACTGGGTTCACCCGTTAATAAATAAATAAATAAATAAATAAATAAATTATAGACCCTCAGAGGAATTCATTGATGTAAAATAGTTTCATCTATGGGCATATTTTGGAGGTTTAAGTTATTTCATGGTCAGCCATGAATATAAATTAATGAAAGATCATTGGTGGTATGGTGCACGCCTTGAATATTAGGTGAAGTCATGGCTGGAACTCATGGCTAGTTTCACACTGATATGATAAATTACCCCACTAAAAGGGTAGATTGAGATGATTCCACTGGTGGCATCTATAAATCTATATGAGATATCCAAATATGTTATTTGATGGAAGAATACTAACCAGAAATGCTGGGTCAGCAAGGATTTTTGAAAAACTGCAAGAATAAACTACCCCTCTGAAGGGGTAGATGGTGGATTGGAATTATTTTACTGGTGGCATCTATATATTCATATAAAATATTCAAATATGCAATTTGGAGAAAAAATTAAAACCAGAAATGATTGGTCCCCAAAATCCACTAATCAAGAGAAAGCATGATACAGCCTAGTGAGGAACATAAATTGAAAACAATATGAACACAATATTATGCAGCCAAATTTCATAGAATCACTAGTGGGGGTAATATTTGTACCTTTTTATAGTTCAAATAAAGTTCAATGCATAGGCATAATATCAACTGTTTATTTTTGGACCAATTTTAATTTTAGCATACAAATTTGATGGGCAATGAAAATGAGTGAAATTTTGATCTCTTTAGGTGATTATTAGCACATTTTTCCCATAGATTGCAATTGCAAATTCACCACAGATCTAACTTTCAACTTCATAGGTCATAGCAATAATAATTCAAGTATTTAATTGAATCATGACATATTATTGCCTCCCATATTGTGCTATTATGAATCATTAACAATAATAAGTATTTTGAGGAAATGGAAGTTGTATTTTTATAGAAGGAGGGGCCCCTCTAATTAAAAACATTGAAATTTTCAATTATCCCTGTAATTTCGAAATCTACTGCCATTAGTTTAATAATCTACATGACCTTTTCTGAAAATAATATTTGATTTTAAGCAACAGGTTACTCACTTTTATATAATTATAGTACTTCATTTGTTCTGCGATAGTGATGGCAGCCCACCCTAAAGTTGAAAAAAGTTGTGAACTCACCTATACCATAACTATATTCGTCAGTAACAGTTCTCCAGCTCATTTTGATGTTTTTCTTTTCGGCTTGTGCGTTATGTTACCATCGATTATATTACCTAAAAACAGGTTAATTAAAAGTCCCTGTAACATTCATAAACAATAACATTGGCAGCCATTTTGCAGATAAAATTAATCACTTAAATAATTCACTTATCCAGTGTTGCCAGCTGCTGAACATAAAACAAACAAGTGATTTTCTGAAAAATATAATTTTTAGGAAGAAGCTTCATTTAGGCCGAGTAAGGTTAGTTGGTTTAAAAAAGTAGTGTCCTCTTTTATGCAGAGGGATATTTTCCTTCCTGAAAAAAGTATTGTTTCTTAGGAAGAAGGTTCATTCAGGCTGAGTAAGGTTAGATGGTTTTGAAAAAGTAGTCTTCATTTTTATCCTTCCTCGCTGAAAAAAGTACTGTGGAGGCATTTACTGTGCTGTTGAGGCTGATAGTGATTCGCTATTTCAATGATATTATTTCAGGATCGGTCGTGAGCGAAGCTCATGGCCGGAAATTTTCTATTAATTTGATTCTGCACCAATTAAGGGTATTGGTTATTTACCTGTGGCTCCAACGATATGTGGCTGTAACAAAATGTGACTTCAACGAAATGAGGCTCCAACGAGATGTGGGTGCAACGAAATGTGGCTTGAACGAGATGAAAGTATACCGCGCAATGTCTCGTTAGAGCCACAATATCTTTCTCAGTAGAATAAGGAACCTTGTGGCAACAGCGCAGCTTTCGGGTACGTTCGGAGACTGTGGGCCCAACGAAATGTGGCTCCAAAGAGATGTGGCTGCAACGAGATGTGTCTGCAACGAAATGTGGCTCCAACGAGATGTGACTGCAACGCGGCGCACTTTGTAGGGGAACATCTCTTCGCACCCACATCTCGTTGGGGCCACATTCGTTGCAGCCACATCTCGTTGCAGCCACATCTCGTTGGAGCCACATTTCGTTAGGCCCACAGTCTCCGAACGTATCCGAACGATGCGCTGTTGCCACATATAATTCAAAAATCTCGATTATACTGAAGTTGTATTGGGTTCATTGTGTGGCCCTAACGAGACACTCTCACCTTGATCGATATCTTAGATCCTGTATGATCTAAGGTTTATATCATGTGCAAGCTGGTGACGTCACTTGACCTCGATGCTTGAAAGATTCTCTGGTCTAGCTAGACGCTTCTTGCATGTTCTGTGTCCATAGCCCATGATTTTTGGTCCATAGTTCCATGTCAATCATCATCATAATTCGAAATTCAGACTTGCAACATGGCATTTACTTTGTTTTTGTGAGTTATTTTCTAATTTAAATTAATAAGAATTCGTGTATCTTCCTAATAAGGAATTTATTTTAAATGTAGATTTGAATGCTATCAAGACACTGAAAGTTTTTTAAAAACATTGTCTTGCAATGTCCGATGTATTGAAAATTGGTCGAAGAGTTGAAATAGCTGGAAAGGATGTTCGAGGAGTTATCGCCTTCATGGGCAAAACAAATTTTGCAGTAGGAAATTGGATTGGAGTGATACTGGATGAACCGAAAGGAAAAAATAACGGTTGTGTTAAAGGAGAGGAATATTTCAAAGTAAGTAGACACAAGTCTCAGAAATATCACAATTTTAATGATCTCTAATCAAAGATAGACAACACAAGCCCACAAAAGGGAATACATTGCCCAAAAAAACAAACAAGGTGAAACAAATTTCAGCAATGAAGTTAGAAGTTTAAAAAAGGTAATATAAGAAATGTACCTTCAAAACGCTCAAACCAAGTGATAAACCTAACAGAACCACTTCAGTATAACATATTTTCAGATGTGCCTATATATATATACTATAATTCAGACTATAATTTAATCTGATGAAGAAGTCAATAGTAAATATGTTTTTTCATCACTAGCTATAAAACCTACCATTATTTTCTCCTTAATGAGACATAAAGTGTGTTTTTACTACCAAGGTAGTTTTTGTCAATAAAGACATAGCCTCTGCTTGAGCCTTGGGATATAATCTTGGTCTCTGGGTAATACTGATATTCTTTACTACCTTGGTGTATAGATAACTATTTTCCACTACTAGCTATAAAAAAATAGCCACCTCTGTTGTTATTAATCCAAATGCACTGTTCTGATCACATATTAGCAGGAATGGCACTGTATCTAGTTAGATATTTATCAATAACAACTTGTCATAATATGCTGTCATAGTCATGGCTACTAGTTCAATCAGAATTGCTTCAATAGTGACAATAGGACATTATTTCAGCTGGTATTTCAGTTTTACAGAACTGAAATTATTGAAATTCAACACACCTTGGTAGTGAAGATTATTATTACCATGGGACCTTATACCAGTCTGCTGAAGCCTGGGGATACAATCTTGATCCCTGGGTAATACCATGGTTGGTGCCATTTAGTGATGTAGAGATTACATACGAACATCATGCTTGTATCTAATATACAATGCATATTTTCTGTCCATATTCAGATACTTAATCCCATTATAGGGAACATGCGGGAAAACAATGTTCAAAAAAATTGAAACACTACAAAATGAAGTTGTAATGTTTTATTCAAATACCATTATACTACGTCAACAAATATATAAATATAATCAAACTAACATCTTACCCATTTCTAATATTTCACAAATTGAACAAAGCAAATTTATATATGATATCATCAAAGAAAATCTTGAATGTAACACACCTTTCAATTTCGTGAATTAGCAACACAACTATAATACACATAGGCAAACAAATATCTACTTAGAGCCAGTGAGAACAAACATAGGCCTCAAAAATCCCATAATACAGAGCATGGAAACTTATAACTCCTTACCAAAGGACATAACAAACTGTGTGGACATAAACTTATTTAAAAGGAAAATTAAAAATATATACATAGAAAAAATCTGAAAACAAACATTTATAAAATCTAAGTCATACCCCATGCAATATGACCCAACTGCATTTAACTACCAATTACATATAATCACATAAATATCTAAAAAAAAAAATTGAGAGAATGGATAGTTTTATTTATTTCTCATTTTGTATTTATGTAACATGTAAATGTATTTTGTAAGTTAGATACAGTTTCCGAGACCAGCACATTTGCTGCTTTGGATTATTCAGTATTCATTGTAATGCACCTAGGTATCTATAAATTCTAAACTGTATATAATAATATGTATTGTTATCAGGAACGCATTGTATTTGAATAAAGTACTTGAAAAAAACTGATATTCATTACTACCCTGGTGTATAAATAACTATTTTTCACTACTAGCAATATATTCACATTCTTCACTACCAAGGTTTATATTGAATTTTTTTCACCATGCAATATATTTCAATCATTTTAGTCCTGTGAAACCGAAATATGGACCTATTGTCTCTATGAAAGCACTCATTTACAATTCTTAGATATCAGAATTCTGTTATTATTTCACAAAATCTATTCTCCCATGAAATGTCATATTTCAAGCAATAACAGCTCTGTCTACTAGATTAGCATTACTTGAGAAAAAGTCAGATGGCTTCAAGCCGAAAAAATGAAAAATGTTACTGCTTGTTACAGCCGTAGACAAAGTAAAGTGTATAACTCGCACGTAATGTTAATTTCCCACTTGTATGATTTGCAGCAAAATGAGAGTATTGCTTTCTAGACAAGACACCTTGCAAGACATGTAAATTTTGATGATTCGAATCTCTATAGATACAGTGTTATTCATAAAGTCTGCATGATATGAGAAAAAACTCTTAATTATAATTTATTGTGAAATTCGACTTGAGCGATAGGTTTTGCTTTAAAAATATGTAACAACTCGGTCGGGGTCACGTGACTTTGGATACATGTCAAAAATTATACATTTTTTCAAATTATTCACTAGAAATGTTGTTTCTATTGCAATTTTACATATTTGTTTTGAATTTGAACATTTCATTATAATTTCACAAATTCGAGACACATGTGTAAAATTAATCAACTTTTTTGAAATTCGAACAAATATGCCTATTTTCAGTGATTAATTTGATAAAAAGTAACTTCTGACATAGAGTTGCGCCGAGGGCTGCGCGATATTAGCTTTCACATATCGATTATCAATAAGTCAAAACATATCAATAAGTTCAATTTATCGATATATGGATAAATATCAATATATCGATGTATGGATATTTATTGATATATCGATATTTATTGATATATCGATAGTTATCGATAGTTATAGATAGACATCGATAGTTATCGATATTTTTTAAATTATATATCGATATTTGTGAAATTATATATCGATATATCGATATTTGTGAAATTATATATCGATATATTGATATTTTATCCCTACCAAACGTTATACAATCCTCAACAAAACTAGTTAAATCAGCATAAAAACTACCTACGTATGTACATACCTATTTATGCAATATATTTGCATGCATGAACAACCCTTTAGGAAAGAAAATAATTTCAAAAATATTACAACTATTCCATTCTCGAGTTCAATAGTAACAACTCGAAAAATAACCATTTTGAGTTGAATATGCGATCTGATTCATCATTTTGTTAGCTTTCACGTCGAGTTTCACGTGCTATTCGCGAAAATCACGAAGTGTGCGGCCTCTGGTGGCTAACTATACAAGTCTTGCGAGTATGAACACCAAATATGGCGACCATTGTTTTGAGTTTCTGTGTTTTATTCGAAAATAATTTATTTATTGAAGTGCATATTCCAGAACCTCATTTTTCCCTGATGAAAAAACTCGAATTATTGCATGAACTATTATTGTTTACAATGAAGAAGCCAGTACCTACCTTATAATTATATAATATACATTTTCTGAAGCACAGTTAGAATCCATCCTTGTATAAATGTTGGTTGCAATGATTCGATCTTGAGAATAACTTCGAGTCTTCAATTGCTGGAGATCCTTATTTATGTAAATCGATGATATTGTTCATTCTGAGCAGCCTCTCCAACCATATCTTCTTTGCCCATCTCCTTCATAAAAGCCAGTGATATTTCTTAATGAATTCAATTATTTCTTCATACCTATATCATATTGTTGTAATAGCTGATGGCTTTTATGACTCCATTCCAGTCCATGCAAGTGTTGAGTGGACCATTCCAACCATTCCATATGTTTGAAAACTGTTGAATTGTAGTGTGATATCAATGATGAATACCACCATTGTCCACATCAAAATGTCAATTTCCATGCACAAAAAGTATTTTTTTCCATACTGGAAACCTTGTACGTATTTCATGAAGTCAACTCATTATTCACTATTTTGCAAGATGATTTCAAAATAACCAATTTGCAATGAGTGCATACGGCAACGTTTTTGTTGTTCATACTCAGTTTGAAATTTGACGTTGATTTGACGTTTAATAGAGCCATCTATTGCTTCGTGATTTTCGCGAATACTGTAACAACTGAAAGTTTCAGTACTGACCAAGAGATGGTGCTAGTTACTTTATAGAACAAGGTTGGTAGAACTGATGATTATGTTGAACAAATTATCATCAGTTCTACCCACCTTGCTATAGAACTGAAGGAAACTTAATTTCCATATAATTCCATATTTTAATAACTCCATACAAGAATCAAGACTTGTTGCAGTTTTGAACTGTGAAATATTTTCAGTAATTTAGAGTTGTTACATTGCATAGCTCGAAATAGTCAATTTCAACACTCAAAACAAACTTATATTATTATGTTATATCATTGCTTCTGTAGTGATTGTAGTTATTGAACTTACTCCTCTAATAATAATGATAATTTTTGATCACTGAGCTTCATATTATCAATTATATAATTTAGATCAATTGTGTAACAAGTCTGAACAATAGTTATTTGTTTTACTAGGCAGAAAAGTAGTAGATTGACTGCCGCGGCTGATAGTTCATAGCCGAGCGTAGCGAGGCTAGGAATTCAGCCAAGGCAATTGCGATTTTAGAGAAACTACGAATTTTGAGATGTTACATTATTGAACTCGGGTATCGTATTTTCTGGATATAACGAAAGCGTCTAGGTGTCACATAAATAAAATAAGATCATTGTTTCCAATATATTGAGAAAAAATCGATAGCTATCGATTTATCGATAGTTATTAATCGATATATCGATATTTTTCCCTGGCCTATTCTGACATGTAGGAAAATCGCGTGACTCCGACCTAGTAGGCCATTTTCCACCTTTCTTGGAAGCAAAACTTAACGAATTTCAAAATAAATTATTATTAAAAGTTATTCCCATATGATGCAGACTTTATGAATGAGACTGTAAATACTTGAAAAAAGTTATTTATTATCTTGGAGATGAATGTTAATTTATCATACATTTAAAAAATAAAAGTTCGATTTGACTCCAAATTTTAATGTATGTTTTCAGGACATCTATGAGTTTACTCAATAACCCCAATTAGAATCATTTTGGAATTTTGGGTCTTTCTCAGTCTGAATTTTGGCACCATGAAAGCTCATACAATATGGGGGTTATAAATAAAAACAAATAATACTTCCAACTTCAACATCCTATATCTCAAAAATGAAGCAAGTTAAAACAAATGTTTTTATGAAC